CCAGTGGAAAAAAGACAGTCTCTTCAACAAATGGTGTTGGGAAAATAGGACAGCCACATGCAGAAGAATGAAACTGGACCAGTTTTTTACACCACACACAAAAATAAATTCAAAATGGAAGAAAGACCTAAATGTGAGACAGGAATCCATCAGATTCCTAGAGAACACAGGCAGCAACCTCTGTGACCTTGGCCGCAGCAACTTCCTGCTAGACAGGTCTCCAAAGGCAAGGGAAACAAAGGTAAAAATGAAAATTGGGACTTCATCAAGATAAAAAGCTTCTGCATAGCAAAGGAAACAAAACCAAAAGACGACAGAATGGAAAAGATATTTGCAAATTTCTTATCAGATAAAGGGCTAGTATCCAAAAGCTATAAAGAACTTATTAAATTCAACACCCGAAGAACAAATAATCCAATCAAGAAATGGGAAGTACAGACATTTCTCCAAAGAAGACATCGAAATGGCCAACAGACACATGAAAAAGTGTTCAACGTCACTTGGCATCAGAGAAATACAAATCGAAACCACAATGAGGTACCACCTCACCCTGGGCAGAATGGCTACAGGTCAGGAAATGACAGATGTTGGCAAAGATGTGGAGAAAGAGGAACTCTCCTACACTGTTGGTGGGAATGCAAACTGGTGCAGCCACTCTGGAAAACGGTATGGAGGTTCCTCAAGAAATTGAAAATGGAGCTACTTACAACCCAGCAATTACACTACTAGGTACTTACCCCAAAGATAGAAATGTAGTGATCCAAAGGGGCACCTGCACCGCAATGTTTATAGCAGCAATGTCCACCATAGTCAAACTATGGAAAGAACCCAGATGTCCATCAACTGATGGATGGAACTAATGATGTACTGTATGGTGACTAACCTAACATAATAAAAAAAATTAATTAATTAAAAAAAAACCCCAAAACACTGATGAATGGAGAAAGATGATGTGGTATATATAGAGAATGGAATACTACTCAGCCATCAAAAAAAAAAAGAAATCTTGCCATTTGCAATGACATGGATGGAACTAGAGGGTAGTATGCTAAGCAAAATAAGTCAGTCAGGGAAAGACAAATACCATATGATTTCACTCATATGTGGATATTAAGAAACAGGGCAGATGAACATAGGGGAAGGGAAGGAAAAATAAAATAAGATAAAAACAGAGAGGGAAACAAACCATAAGAGACTCTTAACTACAGGGAACAAACTGAGGGTTGTTGGAGGGGAGGTTAGTGGGGGGATGATGTAACTGGGTGATGGGCAATTAAGGAGGGCACGTGATGTAATGAGCACTGTGTATTATATAACGCTGATGGATCTCTGAACTCTACCTTTGAAACTAATACTACACTATATGTTAATTAATTGAATTTAAATTTAAAAATAAAATAAAAAAATAAACTGTATTTTTGGGGTTAAAACATATGAAAGCCTATATGGATGACAATAATAACAAAAAAGAGAGATAAGGAAATCAGTATATTTTCTGTTAATACTGATAGACACCTAACATCTGATACAGCAGTAACAGATGGATTCTGGAAATATAGTTGACCCTTGAATAATGCAGGGGTTACTGGCACTGAACCCTGTGTGGTCAAAAATCCATGAATAAATCTGACTCCCTAAAACTTTAACTATTAATAGCCTATCATTGACCAGAAGCCTTACCAATAATATACACAGTCAATTAATACACACTGTATTCTTACAGTAAGCTAGAGAAAATATTTTTAAGAAAATTATTCAGAAGAAAATATACAGTACTATACTGTATTTATTGAAAAAAAGTGTAAATAAGTGGGCCCATGCAGTTCAAACCTTTATTATTCAAGGGTCAATGTACTTAGGATTATAAGCAAACATCTTCCACAATTTTATAACCCCATTTTTCAGAACAAAATAATTTTTAATTCCTTCAAATACTGATACATACATATTTACTCTGGCTGTTAAGTCTTCTTCAGGAAGGTCTAATTTATCCTCCTCCATATTGCTAACTTTTACTTGTTTCACTACTTCCAAAAGCAATGAATCACTGGAAGGCTGTGAGTGTTGGACGCCTGTTTAAATAAATACAAAATATCTATTAAACACGGTAAAAAAAAATAACCTCATTACAGTCCTTCTGTAATTTCTGACTGTTAATTACATCATCATCATCATCATCATCATCATCATCATAATGTGTATTTTAAGTAAAGGAGAAGGAAAGGGGAATTGGGTGAAGGGAGTCAAAAGGTATAAACTTCCAGTTGTAAGATAATTAAGTATTGGGGATGTAATGTGCATGATGACTAGTTAACAATGCTATATGGCATATTTGAAAGTTGCTAAGAGAGTAGATCCTAAAAGTTCTCATCATAAGGGAAAAAAAATTTTGTAACTATATGATGTGATGGTTAACTGTACATTACTGTAATCATTTTATAATATGTGCATATCTCAGGTCATTATGCTCTATACCTTATACAGTACTGTATGTCAATTATATCTTAATAAAACTGGAAAAAACTAAGAAGGACATAAAGTTGTCTAAGATAAAAAAGCAATTTACAGGGCCCCTGAGTGACTAAGTTGGTTTTGCGTCTGACTCTTGGTTTTGGCTCAGGTGGAGTTGTGGGATTGAGCACTGTGTGGGGCTCTGTGCTCAGAGTGGAGTGTGCTTGGGATTCTCTCTCTCTCCCTCTGCTCCTCACTACAGAATAGTTTTTATACATGATTTAAAATAATCTAGGTTGTTTGTGATCTTAAAAACTATTACATGTATAATAAAAGGAATAAATGTTTTAAAAATACGTTATCTATTTTAATGATGGTTTTATATTTAAAAATAGGCCAAGTAATCTCTTTAATCTAATTTAATTCTAAAGCATGCCAAAAAGTTATAGAAAGAATTATCCTCACTGTATTAATTTAATAGAACTATTTTTACTTTGTATTTGTACTAAGGAAATATTAAGAAAGAAGATGACAAATTATCTTTAATTGGAAGAGAACACATAACCCAAGAGCTGAAGTTTCTTTTTTTCTGGAGCACATGAAATTTAGTAAGTAATTCTGGATACAAATATACACAATAAATGTAATGCATTTTATAAACTATACATTTTGTAAGAAGGCAGGGCTAGTGTAATGGGAAGAACAAAGGCTGTGAAGTGGTAAACTTATACTCGAATTCTGTTCTGCCATTTATTAACCAGGTGACTCCTCTGAATCTGTTTTCTTAACTGTGAAATGGAGATACATCACATCACAGTAAGTATAAAATAAATGGCAGCTACCATTATTATACATTCACCTCTCAATTACCTGAGTGACATAAGAATAGTAATAAAAATAACTGCATAATTTATAGGTAGGACTGGGAAAAATTTATGTATGTAACTATGAATAAAGATATTTCAGTTGTGGGAAATAAAAATAATTCATACCAAATAACAGAACATTATAGGGGTGCCTAGGTGGCTATTTCAGTTAAATGTCTGACTCTTGGTTTCAGCTCAGGTCATGATCTCAGGGTTGTGAGGTCGAGCCCTGAGTCAGGCTCTGTGCTGGGTGTGAAGCCTGGTTAAGATTCTCTCTCTTCCTCTGCCCCTCCATCTCTCCCTCTCTAATAAAAAAGAAGAAAACAAAAAAACCCGAAGTAAGAAAACATGATAAAGATGACAAATCCTTCCTTAGTTCCTCAACTGGTATCACTGCTCAGACATAAAAAAATGAATCAATGTAATGTATAGTTGCATTTTTTATGTAAATCTGCTTTGATCACACCTTTGTCTATACCTAAGAAGTACTGGCTCACACTTTTCCTAGAACAAGTAACTATTTTTTTTTTTTGACAGAGAGAGACACAGTGAGAGAGGGAACACAAGCAGGGGGAGTGGGAGAGGCAGAAGCAGGCTTCCCGTGGAGCAGGGAGCCCGATGCGGGGCTCGATCCCAGGACCCTGGGATCATGACCTGAGCCGAAGGCAGGCGCTTAACAAATGAGCCACCCAGGCACCCCAAGAAGTAACTATTTTTACTGAACATGTTTCTTCATGTGGTCTAATTTATTTCATATGGCAAAATTTATTGTTAAACATTTAATTAAAGCACATGAGAATATGCAAGAAAACTGAAAATAAGGAATCTAGATAATCTGATACAAATAGAAAACAGACTTTATGTAGATGAATGACACTACTCCATTAAGAGTGTGGTGAATAAGGGGCGCGCCTGGGTGGCTCAGTCTGTTAAGCGTCTGCCTTAGGCTCAGGTCATGATCCCACGGTCCTGGGATGGAGTCCCGCATCGGGGTCCCTGCTCAGCAGGGAGTCTGCTTCTCCCTCTCCCTCTGCCCCGCCCCTGCTCGCATGCTCTCTTTCTCTCAAATAAATCTTTTTTTTTTTTTCCAAGAAACATTGGTGAATAAAATGAGGATGGGAAACACATCAGGCAAAGAGGCCAGCTGGGAAACTATGTTAAGTTTGGGAAAAGGTAGCACCAAGCTAAGCCATGGCAACAGCAAAGGGAATGAGAATAAGGAAAAACATTCAAAAGATAAGTAAGGGAGAATTAGAAGTACGTTGTACCTAAAAAGCTATTATGTGTAGGGGATTAGGAGGCATGAGGATAGACTCATGGCTAATAGAAATGATTCTGAGTAATAACTAATAGATGGAGAAAATAAAACTACAACCCAAGATACAAGAAAAGCAGAGTCTAGGGTGAGAAGTAGACAAATGAGAAAAGATAATGAATTCAGTTTCAGAAATTTTATATGGAGGCCTCTGTGGAAGAGGTATCCCAACAGACAGACACGCAATTAGAAACAGTGTGAAGTTCAAAAGGCAGGTAAGAATTAGCAATACAGGTGAGAAAGCATTATTTCATATACGTATATAGTGGTGAAGTCATGAAATCACCACTTCACAGAAAGCGCAGGTAAAAGGCAAGATGGCTAGGTATGGATCTAGGAACATGATCACTTAAAAGGTGACCAAGAAAAGAAGACGAAAAATTGGTAAGAAAACTAGGAGGTTAAGCACCAGTGCTAGAAAAAAATGTATACTTACAGAGGAGGATTACTACCAAAGTTCAGAGACAATAGAAACAGTGTAAGGACTAAAAATAAGTTGTTGCAAATACTCAGGAAAGAGTATTTCTAATGAAGAAGTTTGGGCAAAAAAATTTCTCTAAAACCAAAAAAAAAATTTTCTTCTTTAAAACCAAGTTTAAAACAAATTTTTTTTTTTAAAGATTTTATTTATTTGACAGAGAGAGAGACAGTGAGAGCAGGAATACAAGCAGGGGCAGTGGGAGAGGGAGAAGCAGGCTTCCCGCTGAGCAGGGAGCCCGATGTGGGGCTTGATCCCAGGACCCTGGGATCATGACCTGAGCTGAAGGCAGACGCTTAACGACTGAGCCACCCAGGCGCCCCTAAACCCAAATATTTTTAATGATATATTTAAGAATACACTTTTTGACTATTTAAATTCCATAATTTGTAAGTGGTTGCGTTCCAAAAGATACTTCACAAATCACTTGTTTAATTCACAATGAATTTCCCATCAAAAATGTTACAGATAATGGTTAACTTTGTAATTTAGCCCACAATGTAAAAACTATTCTGTACATTTGCAATGGGATGCTTGCAAAGCAGTACTGGGGTATGTGAAACAAAACAAAATAAGAAAATATTTTTAAAATACCATGAATTCTGGCAGCTGATGAAAATACAGACAAAAATAAAGAGCTGATATGTTTTACTCTTTGTTCAATGGAAGTTCTTAACTAGCTATACGATGAATTTATTCTAATACAGTATTCAAAATAAAATAATTTTACTACAAATAAAAGCACTAGCATCTTCATGAATTTTGAAGTTATAATTTGGCACCAATTTAAGTCTCATGCAGGAATAATTTTCTACTTATTTTTGTCTGTAAGTATTTTCAGGTAGGTAGAATATTTTACAGCTAATTCTGAAGTATACTTCAGGGAAACTTAAAGAGCTTTAGAGATTGATGCCACTGGTTTTGTACTATTTCCAATTTCACTCTAAAATGTATGAATTTTTGTTTCTTCTGTACTATCTTATTGTCACTATTATACTTGGGGTATATTTGAAAACTAGGTAAGGAGAAAAACTGAGAGATGAAAAAACGAAAGAACACGAGTTTTCCTAGACTTAATTAAAACCAAGAGGAAGAGACATAAAATTATATCTGTGTACCTGTATAAAGGGGTAAAGGGGTGAGGAGAGGAAGAGGAACAGGAAATTTCCTGGGGGGGATTTCTTGGCAAAAAAGAAGAAAAAATAGGGGACACTATTCTTTAAGTATTATTAGATTCAAGTCATTCACCAAAGATATTTGCTGAGTGATAAGCACAGTCAAATTTCAAGGAGTAAATACATAGAGGGAGAACAAGTTATATGCAAGTGACTTCCTATATAAGATACTCTTAAAGTTAGAGCTTCTTTCATGGGTAGGGCCATTATTTTGCATTAAGGGAAATGAGTTACTGTGTTGGATTTATTTTAGGATGCAAGACTGTAAATGGCAGGCATCACAGATAGTAGCACTCTTGATTAATTTATGGCATCCGTATTGGCCAATATATTAATGCAACTTTAAAAAGATTTAAAAATGGGTACTTGAATTTCATCTAAAACTTAGTCACTGAACACAAGGTGGTTATGATAAAGCAATTTAGTATACACATGACTGCCAATGACTCAACAATCAATATTTTGGGTATTTCACAGACCTGTCTTCAAAAAGGGAGATATGCACTCAGATGGTTAGAAAGGCAAGGTTTCCTAAAGAGCTGTAGAGACTCTTTAAAATCTGTTTTGAAATACTGCTAAGCTATGTGTTTTTGCACTTTTCTCTAGAAAAAGGCATTAACCCACCTAAGATACTAAGGGTCTAAAAAGAACAGGTTATAAAACAAAGATCTAAAGGATTGCTAAGAATTCTAAATATATCTAACATTAGCCTCAGACTTGGTAAGCAGAAGACTAAGGAAAAAAAACCACTGTTTCAATGTACCATAATGGATACAAGAGACAGTGCACTGCACACAAACTACAGTATAATTTTATGATTGTAAATTATGTTTTTCTTTGAAAAATTACAATTAATTGATATAGGAAGTCATCTTAGATTTAGACCAAAGGTAACAGAATTTAACATATACAACCATTTAAATATCAACTAATTTCTGTACAAAAAAGTTTTGTAAACAGTATCTTAACATTTTGAAAACGAAATAATTATAAAGTGTCACCCTTCCTTCATGAGTAAGCAATTTTGAAACAATTAATAAAAACAATAACCAACCCACCAATACCCTCACTATCTTCAACAAATAATTAAACAGGCATCGGAACTCACCTAGATTATCTCTCAAAGCACTAGCGTCTTCATGAGTTTTGAAGTTATAATTTGGCACCAATTTAAGTCTCATGCGGGAATAATTTTCTACGTTAGCTAGTTTCCAGTGAATTGGGTTTTGTTTTCTATGAATTTTCAAAGGAAACAAGTAAAATTACTTAGCTTGAAGTTACAAACATTGGTTGAATGAAATAGAGTAAGAAAGTATCAAGAATTTTACATTTGTTTAGCACCATTTTATAAAAACAGTCACATTCATCATGTCATTTGACCCAAACAACCCTGAAAGAAAACCAGTGTGGATATGCATAGCTGCAGTTTATACATGAAGAACCCTAAGACAGGCTAAATTATTTGCCTGAGATGCCAAGGTGTTTACAGGTATTAGAAATAAGAATTGAACATAAATCTTCACACTTACAGCTGATATCTTTTACTCTTTAACTGTTCAATGGAAGTTCTTAACTAGCTATACAATGAATTTATTCTAATACAGTGTTCAAAATAAAATAATTTTACTACAAATAAAGAGAATATAATTGATCTAAACATAAGAGCTAAAACTCTTAGAAGAAAAGACAGTAAGTCTTTGTGAACTTGGATTTGGGAATGGTTTCTTAGATATTATACCAAAAACATAAACAACAAAAGAAAAAAAGAGGTAAATTGGACTTTAAAATTAAAAAATTTTTGTATACCAAAGGCTATTATCAAGAAAGTGAAAAGACAATCTACATATTTACAAATCATATATCTGATAAGGGTCTATTACTGGGAAAAATAACTCTTACAACTCAACCACAAAATATCAAACAATCTAATTTAAAAGTGAGCAAAGAACTTGAATAGACATTTCTTCAAAAAAAGATATACAAATGGCCAAAAAGTACATGAAAAGATACTCAACATCACTCGTCATTAGGAAATACAAACCAAAATCATAAGATACCACTTCACATCCACTAGGATGGTCATAATAAAAAAACTGGAAAAATTTTACAAGTACCGGTAAGGTTGTGGAGAAACTAGAACCTGCAAACAATGCTAATGGGAATGTTAAATGGTGCAGTTGCTGTGGAAAACTGGCAATTCCTCAGTAAGTTAGACACTGGATTATCACATGACCTAGCAATTTTGCTTGTGGGTATATACTTAAAAGAATTAAAAATCAGATGTTGAGGGGCGCCTGGTTGGCTCAGTCGGTTAAGTGTCTGCCTTTGGCTCAGGTCATGATCCCGGAGTCGAGGCCCCGCATCAGGCTCCCTGCTCAGGGTAGAGCCTGCTTTTCCCTCTGCCCTTCACCTCATTCATGCTCTCTCTCTCAAATAAACAAAATCTTAAAAAAAAAGAATTGAAAAAACATGTTGAAACAAACACTTGTTCACAAATGTTCATAGCAGTACTACTTACAATAGCCATAAAGAAAACAACCCAAATGTCTATATCATCTGATGAATGAATAGACAAAATGTGGTATATCCACACAATGGAATATTATGTGGCCTTTAAAAAAGAAGTACTGATACATGCCGCAATATAATGAAAACATAATGCTAAGTGAAAGGGTTAAGGCCACACATTGTATGAATCCATTTATATAAATATCAAGAATAGGCAAATTCATAGAGACAGAAAATGGATTGGTGGTTGCCAGGAGCTGGGTAAAGGAATAGAGAATGACTGCCAAATGGGTCCAGGGTTTCTTTTTGCAGTAATGAAAATGTTCTGAAGCTGGACAGTGGTAATGATTGCACATTATGAATGTACTTAATGTCACTAAATTGTATATTTTTAAATGGTAAAATGGTAAAGTTTATATTACGTGTATTTTACCACAAGAAAAGGGGTGTAATATATATGCTATATATTACATTATTATATATATATTATTATAATTCATCAAAACATATGTGATTTAGGATCAAGTAAATAAACTGTAAAATACTGAAACACATAACATCACTAACTCTAGCTCAAAGAGGCAGTATGAGGAAGACAGATTCAAGACTGAATTCTACTTTAGAAACCAATACTGCACTGTATGTTCACTAACTAAAATTTAAATAAAAATAAATTAAAAAAAAAAAAGACTTAATTCTACATCACACAGTAAAAGGGAAACAACCCCATGGTGAAAAACATATATACAAAGCTCTAAACATCCCAGACCTGTAATTCACAAAAAGACAACCAAATTAATTAAAAGCTATTTTTTTATAAGTTGAATGTTTTAAAAATTGGATTGGAGAGGTCACTGGCTCAAAAAGTTCTAGGCAAGAGTTCTAAAGAAGAAAGGGTATTTAATAAATAATATCCTCCTACCTTTCAGCCCAAGGTCCCCTTTCAGATGTAAGATAGAGCTGTACTGCCTTCCAGCGTCTCAGAGTGATTAACTGTTGATTGCTAAGTTGTTTAAGTGTATTATTATACCTCAGGTTCTCTTGGCGGGCTTTTCTATTAAATGGTTCCACAAAAAACTCCTGAAACAGCAATAAATAATAGCACTGAATCATATATTTAATTTTAAAAATCTGACCCAATAAAATCATGCAGAAAAGGAAAGAAGCTAGTAACCAACAGTATTTTCTTGTTCCATTAGAATAACTTCCTTTAATGAAGCATATGATTCTAACTATAACCTATCTGTATTTCGTAAAACTTAAAAAATTAAATAAACATGTGAAGAACTTCAAAAATGTAATGTACCTCAAAACAGGATTTTGAAACTCAGAATTATTAACCTCATACAGTCAAATAAAATGATCTTCCTTTGGGATCCTTTGGTGTTTAAGGCAATGAGACTCAAGCTTAAATAAAATAGAAGTAAGAGTAACCACATCCATACTACTACTGGGGACCTGGAAGGCAATGCCAAAGACAAAAGAAATCTACAGGGGCGAATCTCTCACAACGAAAAATTCCATCATTTGGACTGCTGCTCTCTGAATAACATCCTAGTTATTAGCAAATTAATTCACAAACTTTTCCAGTTTTCAGGATAAAATAGACCCTGATAATAGGTTCTATCAAGATATAACTTTAAGCCCTGAAATTAAAATTTTACAGCTTTGAAAAAGACAAGTGGTAAGACTGACTTATCTGACTCACACTGATATTCATCTACCAGGAACTAAATTAACAGTATTAATTTGTTTCAAAAAATCAATACCGAATTACATCGAAAACAGTTAAAGACATCTTTTAGAGAGGTAGTACAGCAGAGCGTGGTTAAGAATATAACATAATTCTGGGGGCACCTGAGGTTCTCAACTGGTTAAGTGCCTGCCTTCGGCTCAGGTCATGATCTTGATCTTGGGGTCCTGGGATCAGCCCACCCTGGGCTCAGCGGGGAGCCTGCGTCTCCCTTTCCTTCTGCCCCTACGCCCAGCTTGGTGCCTGCTCTCTCTCGCAAATAAGTAAATAAAATCTTAAAAAAAAAAAAAGAATACAATTCTGGAGTTAGGCCTGGGTACAAAGCTACTTAATTCTCTGAGGCCTAGTATCCTCATCTCTAAGATGAAGTTGACAATAACTGTCATCAAAAAAGATTAAGATTTAAAGTGCTTAATACAGTGCCAGAAAAGTAGTGAGCTCTCAGTAAAATGTAGCTGTTATTATTATAATTATTACTAGAACTTTGGGAAATCAATGATTTGGGATTATCAAATGTTTAACACAGATCATTGCTAAGAAAACTGAAGAAGTCATGACAGCTCCATAATGATTAAACATAAATTTCATGGTTGGCGAAGTTCAAGAAAGAATATTTTAAGGTTAGATTTCTGTAGAAAAGCTAAGAGTGAAGTTATAGAGAAAGTGTTGATTGGAATAGAAATTGACAGAACTATGAGGGCAATATAAGTTTTTTTTTTTAAGATTTTATTTATTTGTCAGAGAGCGAGCGAGTGAGAGAGCGTGAGCGAGCACAAGCAGGGGGAGCAGGAGGCTCCCCACTGAGCACGGAGCTGAAGCAGGACTCGGTCCCAGGATCCTAGAATCATGACCTGAGCCAAAGGCAGATGCTTAACTGACTGAGTCACCCAGGCGCCCCCACAGTACATTTTAAGAAAAGGAGTAGCAAATGAAAACTACCATTTTGGTTTAACCAAATATACATATAAAAGTCAGGAAAGATATATATCAAAATGTTAACAGTAGTAGATTACAAAGGTTTCTTTTTATACCATTTTATGGAATAAATGTATTTTTATTTGGTCATCTTTGTTTTATGTTTGTTTTTAGATCCTGTACATATTTTGTTAGATTGATATCTGAGTATTTTATTTTTAGAGTTATTGTAAACAATGCTTTTTTAAAATGTCAGTTTCCAATTGTTCGTTGTTAGTATATAGAAATATGATTAAATTTTGTGTATTGATCATGTCCTGCAATGTTGCTACACTCATTAAACACAAGAGATTTTTGGTAAATTCATTAGGATTATCTATATAATCATATTATCTGCAAATAGTTTTATGGTAAATGACTTTTATTTTTCTATTCTTTTTTTTATTTTATTTATTTATTTATTAAACTTTTTATTTATTTATTCATGAGAGACAGAGAGAGAGAGAGAGGGGCAGAGGGAGAAGCAGGCTCCCAAGGAGCAGGGAGCCCGACGCGGGACTTGATCCCAGGACCCTGGGATCATAACCCGAGCCGAAGGCAGACGCTTAACCATCTGAGCCACCCAGGCGCCCTCTTTTTTTTTTTTTTTAAAGATCTATTTATTGGAGAGAGAGAAAGCATGGTGCAAGCAGGGGGAGGGGCAGAAGGAGAGGGAGAGGAAAATCTCAAGCGGACTCTGTGCTGAGCCTTTGACATGGGTCTCAATCCTACACAACCTGAACAAAAACCAAGAGTCAGACACTAACCGACTAAGCCCCCTGGAGCCCCTCTTTTTCTATTCTTAATGCATTTGCTAGGACTTACAGTATAACAGGGACTAGAGGACTGGTGAGAGTAGACATTCTCACCTAGTTCTCTTCTTACAAGAAAAGCACTCAGTTTTCCATCTTTTTCCTCCTAAAGATTTATTTATTTATTTATTTGAGAGAGAGAACAAGAGTGCAGGGGGTGGGAAGAGCAGAGGGAGAGAGAATCTTAAGCAGACTCCGTGCTGAGCCTGACGTGGGGCTTGATCCCACGACCCTGAGATCATGACCTGAGTGGAAACCAAGAGTGAGATGCTTAACTGACTGTAGCACCCAGGTGCCCCCAGTTTTCCATCTTTAAATATGAAGGTGGCTGTAGGATTTTTGTAGAGATTCTATTTCTATTTCCAGTTTGCTGAGAGCTTTGATCATAAAATGGACACTGAATTTTATCAAATGCTTTTTCTACATCTATGGATATGATCATTTAGTTTCATTTTACTAAATATGAATTTGGTCTACTATCATTATATTGATTAATTACCAAATGTTGAAGCAATCTTGCATTCCCAAGATAAACTACCCGGTGTAATGTATTATTTTTTTATATATTGCTGGATCTGGTTTCATCTATGTTCCTAAGAAATACTGTAGTTTTCTTGTGCTACTTTTGTGATTTTTAACCAGTATAATTAATATACAGTGTTACAGGAGTTTCAGATGTATTCTTGAACTATTTTTGTATGGTTTCAGTAAGAGGATAGTATTGCCTTCATATAATGAGTTGGGAAGTGATTCCACTTTTCTGTTTTTTGAAGAGATTATGAGGAATTGGTGTTATTTCTCCATTAAATGTTCAACAGAATTCACCAGTGAAACCACTTCGGCCTGGAGTTTTCCCTTTTAGAAGGTATATATGTATATATATATGTATGTATTTATTTATTTTAAAGATTTTATTTATTTACTGGAGAGTGAGAGGGAGAGAGGAAAAAGAGAGGGAGAGAGGAAAAAGAGAGGGAGAGAAAGCACAAGAGGGAGAGGCAGACTCCTGCTGAGCAGGAAGCCCGATGTGGGGCTCAATCCCAGGACCCTGGGATCATGGACCTGTGCCGAAGGCAGACGCTTAACTGACTGAGCCATCCACGCACCCTGGAAGGTATAAATTCAATTTCTTTAATAGATAAGACTATCCAGGCTATCAATTTATTATTGAATTAGTTTTGGAAATTTATCCATTTAAGTCATCTTATTTATAAATGTGAATAGATTGGTTTGTGGCAGTCTCTTATTATCATGTTGATACCTGTGGAGTCAGTGGTGATATCCCTCTGTCATTCCTGTTAATGGCAATTTTTCACTTTCTTTTTTTGCTTTGTCAATCTGGCTAGAAGTTTACACATTTTATTGACATTTTCAAAAATATTTATTTTAATATTTATTTGAGAGAGAGAGAGAGAGAGAGAATGGGGGAGGGACAGAGGGAGAGGGAGAGAGTCTCAAGTAGACTCCACACTGAGCTCAGAGCCTAATGTGGGGCTCAACCTTACAACCCCTGAGATCACAAGCTGAGCTGAAACCAAGAGTTTTCGATGCTTAACCAACTGTGCCACCCAGGTACCCCAATTTTATTGACATTTCAAAGAACTAGATTTTAGTTTTATTAATTTTCTCTATTGTTCTTCCTGCTTTCAATTTCATTGATTTCCGCTCTTTTGTTAGTTTCTTATTTGAAAACTAGTTTAGTTTTCTTTCTATAGTTTAAGGTAGAGACTTAAATTATTAATTTGATGTCTTTCTTCTTTTCTAAAGCAAGTATTTAGTGCTATAAATATTCTCTAAGCACTGATCTATACCCAGCCTCCTTAGAGATATGTACTATCAGCTTAACAGACTTTTTACATATCAACTATGCATAGAACATTTTGACATTAACTTTTTAATTGTTACTGATCAGGCTTTTTCTTTCACTTCTGAAATAATTTTAAGATTTTATTTATATATCAGAGAGAGAGATCACAAGCAGGGGGTAGTGGCAGAGGGAGAAGCAGACTTCCTGCTGAGCAGGAAACCTGATACAGGACTTGATCCCAGGACCCTGGGATCATGACTAGAGCAGAAGGCAGATGCTTAACTGACCGAGCCGCCCAGGCACCCTCAATTCTGAAATAATTTTCAAACAACAGGAAATACCATTTGTATTCTGAGTTCAGACTTGTTTTTACTCTTATTTGAATATTAAAAGCTTGAAATCAACATAAAAAAGCTAGATACTAAAAACATTTAATAATTTTTACCTGAAACTTAAGCTTGCTTTCTCCTCCTTCCCGGTCTCGTTTATGCATATTCACCATTAAGGCTTCATAACAATTCTTCCAATAAAGTGCCATGTCCTCATGACCCTCATAAAATGTATGGATTTCATACTGCTTCATGTAAGGCACGATCTTATAAATATATACATATATATACAGAAAATTTAACATAGACTTCTATAAAAATGACAACTTAGAAAAATTTCACTCAAAATAGATAAAACTTACATATTTTTCGATGTAAACTTGCCATTCATTTGAACTGCAATACTCTTGAAAATCTTCAAAAAATGAAGAGCTACCATTGGTAAAAGGTAAAGAAGGCAGGTGCAAGTTCATGAAGAGAAGCTCATAGATTTTGGAAACCAGGGTACGGACCAGGGGAATCAGAAATGAGTAGATTTCAGTCTGTTCCTTAATTGACTGACTTAGAACATGTTCCAGCTTCCCTAAAATGTAACATGCTTCATTCTGATTTTCAATCACTTTGGTTTGAAGAAGGGTGTTTAGCTTAGCTGATGCCATTGCACAAACCTGAGGAAACAGTATAGGTGAGAACAGAATAAAGCAGACATTTAGCAAAAGTTCTCTGGCTCTTCCTGAAGTTTTTTGTTTTTTTGTTTTTTTAAATCAATTATAAAAGCAGAATATACAGAAAAGGAGGAGTGGATAATTAATCACCCCAACATCCATTATACTCCTTCTTATAGTCTGCAAGGATAAGGGAATGATTCCATCTCTAGTTCCAATAAGTCCTAAAAAATATAAGCCAAACAGAATATCCAACCACTTTCCACAGTGAGTGGTTCAGGTAACTAATCTTTCAGTCAACTCATGTCACTGCTTTTGTCACAGATTCATTTGGGGATGGCCTCATCAGTTCAAGTTCAGAACTTTTACTAATAACTGTCAAGAACTGTGAAGGGTCTCAGATTTTGCCTTACCTCCAAGATAATAAGTGAGCCTGCCACAGTTTCAGAGATGCTGGCAGAAGACATGAGACTCCTGGTTCAGAGCCAAAGACCTATAGCAATCCCAACAGCCAGAATATCAGTATTTGCCCTGGTACCCTGAACTGCTATTCCCATGGTGAGAGATGAACAGGACTAGATGATGCATGCACACCCAGTGGCTGCAGTATAGCAGAGGAACCCCAAGCATAAGGAACCTAAATCTTCTATACTAGCTGTAAGTTAGCCTGAACTTTGCCTTGGAGGGAGACACTATCATACTAGACAGTAAACAAACCTGCCTTTTGCTCTGGAGGGAGACAGAATCTCTGTCTTCAAAGTTGTGCACAATACCTGCATCCTCAAGAAGATAGTTCATAACAAAGACATCTAGTGTCTCTATTTATAAGATATGCAGAAACATAAGAGATCCATGAAGAACTGTCTACCAACAGTGACAGTAAGAAGAGGCACTCTCTCTCTTTTTTAAAGATTCTATTTGTTTGAGAGAGAGAGCGTGAGCGGGGGAGGGGGACAGAGGGAGAGGGAGAAGCAGACTCCCCGCTGAGCAGGGGCTCCATTCCAGGACTCTGAGATCATGACCTGAGCCAAAGGCAGATGCATAACCAACTGAGCCACCCAGGTGCCCCAGAAGCACTCTCTTTATCTGATATAAATGAGGAAGCATGTAGCACCAACTGCTACTGGCAGCATTTTGTGACAAAGGCAGCCAGCTTAAGACAAGCTGACACATGAGGGAAAGGAGTGCTGTGAAAATAGCAAATAAATGGAACTGAAGCCTTGATTAAATCATGCCTTAAATTGAACTACAGAATTTTCTATTATCTGAGCCAATAAATCTCCTAAACTCAGTCAATTTGGGTTGATGCTTCTGTTATCTGGAATCAAAGCATTATGATACATAAAGGATAGGTACAAGGGAGACTGAGTCCTTGACAGAAATGTCACTACCCTTAAAATTCCCAAGGAAAATACATGTACTAATAAGCCCAGGCAAAGGAATCCTCTGTATTACCATTAAACGTTGGCCTTAACCCCAACACAGGAAGGTAAATTAGGTCATAAATGGGGTCTCCTTATGTCCAGGCTAGACCTAAGCCATAAAACCATGGTAGGACAAATGATATAAACTATCTCCTTCTCACTTAACACTATGTTACAGTGTTGGAACTTATTACTTTCAAAATGAAGAAAACCAAGAGAAAAGAGGAAAGTATCAGAATCTGACATCACTTCATGATTTTATTTGTTTCAAACGCGAGTCTGAGCTGTATGCACAGGTCTTTGCAGGCCAAGGCAATAAGAGACCTTAGGCAGTCTTTCCACACAAGCCTTAAAAAGGCAAATAGCACTGGAGGAAATAATATCTAAGATGGCTCAAGACTTTAACTTTTGTAACTTTAACTTAAGCTTCTACTGGTGAAACTTTTCTACTCTCCTCAGACTTTCCTCAATCCTTCATTTTAGTCGTTGAATGTGACTAAAGCAACTTAATTCTAATAGAGACCAACAAATATAAAAAAAAAGGACATAAAATCTCATCATCCAGGAAATGCCAATGCTAATAGTTCTGGACTTTTTTGCTATGTGTTTTTTAAAATACTGTTTACATAGAAAGTTGAATATCTAGTGCTTTGTTTTTAACTTAACATCATGGTATTAAATGAACTATAAGCTTATGTATTTATTTAAAATTATAAAGATACCTTTAATGAATACAAGATAATTTATTTGACCATTGTCTTAATTTTGGATACATACACATACTATATACGGATATATATGACCCCCCCTACCTCCACTATAAAGAGTACTGAATTAGGGTCACCTGAGAAATTACAAAAAATACCAATGCCCTAGTTCCTCCATTTTGATATAATTACTAAGGGTGATGCCCCACAAAGGTATTTTTTAAAAAGCTCCTCTGGGTGATTTCATATTCTCATCACTGGCTGAGCTACAACAACTGGGGACAAAATGGAGACCACATGCTGCACTAAATAAATCAACTACCTAGTTCTGCTTTAGAGACAAGCTAGGAAATGTTAACATTTATGTGACATCTCCTAGTACTTATATACTGGCATTTAACTAATAAGTATGAGCAAAACAAAACAAGTTTGTAGCCAGATTGGCGAAGAAGCTCTATTATAACCCCTTTAAGGGGAGAAGTTGCTTTCCCAGCCTTTTATGCTTTTATTCCTGAGAGAATAAAATTAAACAACTAGCTAGTAAAAAATGTGTTAGGTTACTAACTACTGGTAAACAAGATATCTTATCTACAGGTTCTGTACTCTATTAATGTTTTACCTTCAGGTTTTTTTTAAATTTAAGTTCAATTTAATTAACATATCCTGTATTATTAATTTCAGAGGTAAAATTTAGTGATTCATCAGTTGCATACAACACCCAGTGCTCATCACTTGATGTGCCCTCCTTAACGCCCATCACCCAATTACCCCACCCCCCCACCCACCTCCCTTTCAGCAACCCTCAGTTTGTTTCTTATAGTTAAGAGTCTCTTAATGGTTTGCCTCCCTCTGTTATCATCTTATTTTATTTTTCCTTCCCTTCCCCTATGTTCATGTTTTTTTTCTTAAATTCCACATATGAGTGAAATCATATGGTATTTGTCTTTCTCTGATTGATGTATTTCGCTTAGCATAATACTTTCTGTTCCATCCACCTCATAGCAAATGGCAAGACTTCATTCTTTTTGATGTATGAGTAATATTCCATTCTCTGTGTGTGTGTGTGTGTGTGTGTATTGTACCTACATATATACCACATCATCTTTATCCATTCATCTGTCGATGGACATCTGGGCTCTTTCCGTATTTTGGCTATTGTGGACATTGCTGCTATAAACATTGGGTGCATGTGCCCATTTGAATCTTTATTTATCTAGTATTTATACAGCCCTACTATGGGACAGACATTGGATATTTAATGGTAGACAAACTAAACAAATATTTTATTTATGGAAATTTCATCAAAGATAAACACTGAGGGTGACTAGAAGTGGGGAAAAAAAAAAAGAGTCCTAATATCTAAAATAACTACCTGGCATGCTTGCTGTAACTGCTTTAATAGCCATGAGGCTGATACTAATGAAAAAGCCCCAAAAACTATCCTTATTCTACTTCTAGGTAGAGAAAAAGAGAATACTACCCATGAACAACTATGTGTACAAAGGTTGTCTGGTACTTTGGATTACTATCTGAGGATATAGTTTTAGTGTGGAATTACTAGACAGAGTGTGATCATTTTTTTAAGTACCTAATTCATATATTTTCAAATTGCATTTGAATGGCTGCACAATTCAAGCTTCCACAATCCATATCAGAAAGCCCATCTTCTCACTTATTTAGCTTTTCTGCATTTTCCATGAACACCTGCTACTTTTATGATTAAGAAAAAAAATCCTATTTTTAAAAAGTTAGTAACATATTACTATTCATATTATCATTATCAAAATATGTGAAGATTTCAATCATCTGAAAAAATATATGCATAGAAAAATATTGACAGTTATTTCTTCTTGGGCTATGGGATGATGGATTTATTTTCTTCTCTTCATGTTTCTGTGTATTTTCCATAATGAGCACACGTTACTTTTACAATTAGAAAAAAATACCCATTGAAAACTATGGCCTTTCGAAAATATAGCAACCTTATGGAATTTTAATCTCTCCATGTTCTCATCAACATTACGGTTAAGTTTATGAATATTAGAAACCATCCCCCACCCCTACCAAGTACTTAAAATTCCAGTATCAAAAGAAAATAAAAAGGGCCAGGTAAATAGCAATGGGATACATGTTATGTTTAATCCAGGCCAGGTTCTCCAATGTAAATAGAAAGATGACAGACTAAAATTCATGTGGAACTTTTCCAATCTTTAAAATTTTTAATTAAAAATAGAAATAATTAAAGTTCCTTGGGTCCATATTTTATTTATCTATATTTTGACAACCTAACACAATGCTCATACTTGGTGGGTATTCAGTGTTTGATGAATTAAAAAAATATGAGATATAACGTAAAACTGTGGATTAATAAAGAAACAGAAAAAGATTTTGAAACAAAAAAGAATCTTCCTAAAAATGTAAGACTTATACTGCACATGTACAAAAACATGTATAAATAGGCTAGGCCTAGTTACATTAAATATAGATGATATGAGTAACGTCTCCTTGTATAAGCTATGTATAAATCCTTTAAAAAGTTAAAATTATACTGAGTCATATACATCAGCAAGAAACAATCAATGAGCTGCCTCTGAAACCTTTTTCTGATTAATAAAACTGAAACTAGAGGGAAATCATGGATATTTTTGGAATAAAAAAATTAAAATACTGAAAATTTATTATCATTTAGTTATTACACAAATAACTTCTATGCTGCATGCAAAGTATAGAAAATAATGCAAAAGAATTGACAAACCTGCAAATTTCCCCTTCCAATGAATCCTAGAAGCAACTGGATTTGAATTTGAGGCAGTTTTGCCCATACTTGACCTTCAGAATACCAAACTGACAGACCATCGAAGAGTAGCATCAGATTGTCTAAAAGCTATCACAAGGGAAAAATTGAGAAATAAAAACATTCTGTTTTAAAGTCTACTGATGAGTTTTCCCCAACAGTAATGCATATCATAAATATTTCAAAACTAGCTCAATGTTCAATTGGTAAAAGGCAAAAGAATTATCCTAGTAATAACTAACAAAGTTGGTTAACTATCACATTTTAACCATGTTTGTTCTGATTAAATATTAATGCTCTAAAAAGAGGGGGTACAAAATTTTTTTTGTTGAATAAAGTCCTTGACTACCAGAAAAATAATATCAAAGAATTATTACTGCACCTTCTCATTCCACATGTTTGAATTAACAAGGCCCTCTGACTGCAGAAAGTCCTGTATGATCAGGATGAGTCGGGAGGCATTTTCAGCAGTTACTGGATTTGTTTTTGATTCTCTGTTTTCTGTGACTGTCCATTCTAACATGTTCTGTAGCAAACTAAGGGCAAAACAAAATCGTCTTAAAATCATTTTAAGTTTAGAAAAATAGTAAAACATGAAAAAAAACCCAGTTATTCATTAATATGTCTGTAAAGATATACTATCACTGGCAGGGATCAGAGGACATTTAATAACAATGAAGCAGCTTTTTAATCTCTGAAGTATCTATCTTTAATAAACATAATACAAAAGGCAAAGTAAAAGCTATCATTTTATTTAACTATAAAAAAGCTATTGAAATAATTCAAATTCCAGTCTCTATGAGGTAACTTAAAAGTTTCCTTAAAGCTGGAAATTGGGAAGGTAAGAAAAGAAAGCTTTATTATGTCTCACAGAGGGTCCAGCCCTGCAGAGAACTCTAAATGCTTTAGAGAAGTAATTTTAATGAAAACACTACTTGCTTCCCTCAGCATGGAAACTCTCAAACTTGGACAAGACTGCAGAACACAATACACCAAATGCTTAGATATTACAAAAACAAGTTTAAACAAGGAATATATAATCACTGAAGCCCAAACTAAAGATTTAAATCTCCTCACACTTTTAGATTTCTCTCTAGATTCCACTAAAATGGTAACAGAGAGGAAAAGGGGCTGAGCACGAAGTTTTTCCTTTTCTCTCACTACACCCACTGAATCCTGAATAAATGTTCAATAAAAAATACTATTTTAGACTCCCATCCACTCCCAAAGGAAAGAGTAAATCACCAACTGAATGCTTACATTAATTTTATTTCATCTGAGGGTCGAAGTAATTCACTGGATATTCCTGGTTTAGTTAGTGCTGAAAACACTTGCCCCCGTTCAATCCAAGTACCATTATCAGACTTTTCTAGTCCCTTACACATTACATAGTTCAAAATATTTGTCAGTAATTGAAGAAGCTCCTCCTCACATCTCTATAAAAAAGATAAGTTAATATTAAATTATTGGAAGGAGGTGGTGTTAAAAGCACACAAAAAGAACCATCACATATACTGAATGTAATCATTTAACATATTTTTAAAGTGTCTTGATAAACCCGGAATTTTGCTAAGTAGGTCCTAGAGATATGAGGATGAATAAGACACCTGCTTTTCTCAAGATATAATTTAGTGACTTCTAGGTTTCCAAAATCTTAGATCATGAGACTTAGAACATGAATATAATATGAAATTGTTAATAATTACACATTCCTAAGGGTTAGAAGTATATAATAGACATGTGAAAATAAAAAGAGCATTTGGACAAATAAGGAATTTTACCTCTTGGCTTTCAAGTAAAGAGAAGTCATCACCAAACCCTGGATCACTTATGACACTGCTCTCTTTGTCAGACTGCACAGAAAATGATTTAGTAGATTCTATTGGGGATGGCGTGCTAGGCAGGCTGTCTGGCATGTGACTTCCACTGTCACTCAGTTCACATGAGTCTATTCCACTGAGATCTAAACTCAAATGTGAAGGGTTATTATTCCAGAATTCTTCTTGATTCTCTGATTTGAAAGATAATTCTCCCACAGAACTATCTTCTTGAAATAATGGTGTGTGTGAGTCTAGAGAGTGTCTATCCTCTAAACTCCACTGATCTGAAGACACATTAGCTGAGGCAAAAGAGTTGATTTTTTCCTCATCGATCTTTTCATCAAAGTTCCTCTTAATATCTTCAGCTGAGAAATTTTTATCACTGTCTTTCATTGAAACAGCCCTACTGTGCTTATGGAGAGTATTTCCATTTTCAAAATTTGTTTTTAAAAAAAGCCTAACTAAAGTGTCTTGCCAACCCACTTGTTGAGATATTTGATGTGCTGCATCTGGCTGGGACTGCAAAATCTGTAAAATCTGCAAAGATTAAGAATACAAAATTCATCAAAAAGTACACAGTACTTCACATCAAAAACATTTTCTTTTCAGTTATCTTAGAGACAAAGTAATTTAATGAGAAACTGTGGGAAGACATACTTTCAAAAGATTATGTTCTTAACTGGATTATAAACTATCTGTAGGGTACACAGTGTTTTTAACTAATCTGCATATATTACTCATTGTACAGAGTACTTAAATATTTTCTGAAAGATAAAAAAGGGAAAAAAATGATCCACCACATGTCAACACACTCATGTTACTAATTTAATTTGATCAGAGAGAAAATATAAATAGAATGAAGGTATATATAAAATGTAATAAAGTTATATCCTCTCAACTAAACACTTTCCATGAGCCTACTACATTTGTTTAGCAAATACTGAATACATACTGTGTACCAGGCCCCTCCTGTCGCTAGGGTTAAGGGAGTAAATAAGACACACAGATACTTTAATAGAACCTAGATCTCCCAAGAATGCTTCCCCATCTCATTTTTTTTCCAGGCAAAGTTAATGGTTGCTTTTGCAAAACATTTTTTTTCCATTAACTCTATGTTGTACAAACACTAATTCCAACAAGATGGATGCTGCTATTTAGCTGGAAAAAGAAACTGAAATTAAAGAATAGACACTGACATGTCAATGTGTATGATCTCTATTATCCAACTGATTCCACATTTTTTTTTTTTTTGGATTAAAACAAGTTCTCAAACACTGTCAGATATTCAGTTAAGATCTTTAAGACATTTTTCTCACAAAGCCATAAACTTCTATGTAGATGGAAAGAATTTCTGCTCCCAGTATTTGGAGAATCTCTTTTATCTGTAACTCTGACAAGTGTCATAGGAGATGAATAATGTTGGTAGGGATTTCACTAGCACGGGCTCTAATGCAAGCTGATGCTGATATAGTAAGCAACAAGTCACAGTGAGTCACAATGACGTGAAGTTCCTTTCCTCACTAATGCTATATCGGTGAGCTACCATTACTCTACTGATGCAGAATATCAATTTTTTTCCTTAGTAAAGAAATTTTCATGATTTCATGACTTTAAAAGTTCCATAAAATAAGATTTATTTTGTGTCTACTTTATATACATGTAATGAATAAAAACTAGGCTGCACTGAAAGCTGTTTTCAAACTGAAAGGAAAGGATCAATCTATATAACCTGCTTCAAGAACAATATCCCAAAATCCATCAAAATGTGGTATGTGAATACACTCTGACACAGCAATTCCATTTCATTGATTATATCCTACAGACGTATTACCAAAAAAAGGTAAAAATATATGTAAAAAAGTTCTTAACAGAAGTTTAACACAGGAAAACAGGAGACAACCTAAATGTCCATGAACAGGGAACCAGGTAATACTTTATACAATAGCCACAGAATAAAAACTATACACAGCTGTTAAAGAGAAAAATATACAACCAGACTTACTGATGGAAAAATACAATAACATAATTAGGGAGTAAAATTAAAAAGAAAACCAAGGAAGCAAATTAAATAGGTCAGTGATTGCTAGTGGAAGAGAGAGAAGGCTATAATCAGGAAGAAGCACATAGAATAACTATTTCTTGACTTAAAGGGATGCATTGAAGGCAAGTCACTGTTACTTTTCCATAAAGTTCAAAAGATTCAGAAATTCTAAAATATGGTATATGAATTTGAAATGGTCATAATCATTGAAGATTCTTGACAAAAAAACCTATTCTCTTATAATAAATTTTTTACTGTGGAAAGGGAATATTTCCAGGAGACCATGTAAAGCTAAGAACACATTTTTATGATGATTTTATAATTACATGAAGTTAATTCACCTCAAAAACCAAAATTACTTATTTATAAAATTGTGTTAAATAACAGAAATTAAAACTTATACCCGGTGTAAAATACTCAATATGAAAGTTGTTCACAGTATAACAATACTGTCATTTTTAAAGTGTATCTTAAAAGTTTACTAACCTTTCTGCAGATAACCACCCTGACATTTATATGTGTTCTGTGAGATATATATACCACAGACAACAGATCTTTGAAATTAATAGCAGGATCTATGGTGGGAAAAAATAAAGTTAAAATTAAATTCCAGAGATAGCCAAAGAAAGAACTGTGAGTGCTAGTTAGATAATAAAATAATTGTTTCATTTTTATTTTTCTTGCTATCAACAATATATATATCCTTTATTTTTTTCTAGCTTTACTGAGATATAACTGCCATAAAACAGTGTATATATTTAAGGTGTACGACATGATGATCTGATATATGTATATACTGCAAAATAATTACCACAGTAAGGTTAGTTAACATCCATCACTTCATATAGTTACCATTTTCCTTTTGTGGTAAACTTTTAAGATCTGCTCTCTTAGCAACTTTCAAGTATATAATATTAACTATAGTCACCATGTTGCACATTAGATCCCCAGAACTTATTCATCTTATAACTGGAAGCTTGTACCCTTTGACCACCTTCACTCATTTGCCCCCCACCCCCAGCCCCGGCAACTACCAATCTACTGTCTCTAGAAGGTTGGGATTTTTTTTTTTTTTAAGATTTTATTTATTTGACACACAGAGAGAGATAGCGAGAGCAGGAACATGAGCAGAGAGAGTGGGAGAGGGAGAAGCAGACTCCCCGCCGAGCAGGGAGCCCGATGCGGGGCTTGATCCCAGGACTCTGGGATCATGACCTGAGCTGAAGGCAGACACTTAACGACTGAGCCATCCAGGCGCCCCAGTAGGTTGGTTTTTTTAATTTCACCTGTAAGTGAGACCATATAGTATGTGTCCTTCTCTGACTTATTTCACTTAGCAGCATAATGCCCTGCAGGTTCTTCTGTTACAAACGGCTGAATAATATTTTTTTTTTTTAAGATTTTATTTATTTATTTGAGAGCGAGCACGCACAAGCATGGGGAGGGGCGGCAGAGGGAGAGAGAAAAGCAGACTTCCAGCCAAGCAGGGAGCCCGATGTGGGGCTCGATCCCAGGAGGCCGGGATCATGACCTGAACCGAAGGCAGATGCTTAACCGACTGAGCCACCCAGGTGCCCCTGAATAATATTTATATATACGTCTGTGTGTGTGTGTGTGTGTGTGTGTACACACACACAAACACTTACTTTATGCACTCATCCATCAGCAGACATTTAGGTTGTTTCTAGGTCTTGGCTGTTATAAATGATCCTGCAATGAACATGGGGATGCAGGTAACTCTTCAAGATAGTGATTTAATTTTCTTTGGATATATAACTAGAAGATGGATTGTTGAATTATATGATAGTTCTATTTTTAATTTTTGGAGGAACCTCCATACTGTTTTCCACAGTGGCCGCACTAATTTACATTCTCAGCAACAGGGCACAAGGGTTTCCCTTTCTCCATATCTTCACCAGCACTTGTTATCCTTTGTCTTTTTGGTAATAGCGATCTTAACAGGTGACGTGCTATCTCCTTCTGGTTTTGATTTACATTTCCCTTATGATTAGAGATGTGGAGCACCTTGTCATCTACCTACTGGTTATTTGTATGTCTTTGCAAAAATGTCTATTCAGGCCCTTAGCTCATTTTTTTTTTTTAATTCTAGTTAGTGGACATACAGTTCAATACTGGTTTCAGGAGTAGAGTTCAGTGGTTCATCACTTACATGTAACACCCAGTGCTCGTCATAACAAGTGCCCTCTTTAATACCCAGCACCCATCTATCCCATCCCCCACCCACCTCCCTCCATCAACCCTCAGTTTGTTTTCTAAGCTAAGAGTCTCTCATGATTTGTTTCCCCGTCTCTTTTCTTCCTCCCTCCTGAATGTTCATCCGTTTTGTTTCTTAAAATTCCACATATGAGTGAAATCATATGGTATTTGTCTTTCTCTGACTATTTCACTTAGCATAATACACTCTAGCTCCAACCACATCATTGCAAACAGCAAAATTTCACTTTTTGATGGCTGAATAGTATTCCATTCTGTGTGTGTGTGTGTGTACACACACACACACACACACACTTCTTTATCCATTCATCAGTTGTTGGGCATTTCAGCTCTTTTCATGGTTTGGCTATTGTTGATAATGCTGCTATAAACATCAGGGTGCACGTATCCTTCTGAATCAGTATTTTAGTACCCTTTAGGTAAATACCTAGTAGTGCAATTGCTGGATTGTAGGGTAGTTCCATTTTTAACTTTTTGAGGAACCTCCATACTGTTTTCCAGAGCGGCTGCACCAGTTTGCATTCCCACCAACAATGCAAGAGGGTTCCTGTTTCTCCGCATCCTTGCCGACACCTATTGTTTCCTGTGTTGTTAATTTTAGCTATTCTGACTGGTGTGAGGTGGTATCTCATCATGGTTTTGATTTGTATTTCCCTGATGATAAGTGATGTTGAGCACCTTTTCATCGGTCTGTTAGCCATCTGGATGTCTTCTCTGGAGAAATGCCTATTCATGTCTTCTGCCCATTTCTTAACTGGATTATTTGTTTTTTGGGTGTTGAGTTTAGTAAGTTCCTTACAGATTTTGGATACTAACCCTCATTTGCAAATATGTTCTACCATTCCATAGGCTGCCTTTTAGTTCTGTTGATTGTTTCCTTTGCTATGCAGGTTTTATCTTGATGAGGTCCCAAAAGATCATTTTTGCTTTTGTTTCTCTTGCTCCCAGTGATGTGTCTAGTACCTTGCTCATTTTTTAATTGGATTTTTTTGCTACTGTGTTGTATGATTTCCTTATATATTTTAGATATTAATCCCCTCTCAGATATTTGGTTCACAAGTATTTTCTCCCACCCTGTATACTGCCTTTTCATTTTGTTGATGGTTTTTCTTGCTGTGCAGAAGCTTTTTAGTTTGATAAAGTCCCACATGTTTATTTTTGCTTTTACCACTTGTGCTTTTAGTGTCATTGCCAAGACAGATGTCAAGGACTTTTCCTCATGTTTTCTTCTAGGAGTTACATGGTTCAGGGCTTACATTTAAATCTTTAATTCATTTCAAGTTAATTTTTGTGAGTGGTATAAGATAAAGGTCTATTTTCATTCTTTTGCATATGAATATCCAGTTTTCCCAACACCATTAATTGAATAGACTATTTTTCCCCAACTGAGTATTCTTGGGTGCCTTGTCAAATACTAGGTGACCAGATATATAGGGTTTTATTTCTGGGCTTTCAATTCTGTTCCACTGGTCTATGTGTGTTTTTATGCTAGTACCATACTGTTTTGATTACTATAACTTTATAGTGTAGTTTGAAATCAAGAACTGTGATGCTTCCAGCTATCTTCTCCTTTTTCAAGTTCTTTCTCAAAGAATGAACTGTGGGTAATAGTTATATAAATGCTGACATAACTGTCTCATTTAAAATAAGGATTATAGAGGGGCTCCTGGGTGGCTCAGCTGATTAACCAGCTAATTCGACTCAGGTCACTATCTCGGGGTCCTGGGATCAAGCTCTGTGTCGGGGAGTCTGCTTGAGGATTCACTCTCCCTCTCCTTTGCCCCTCCCCCCATTCGTGCACTCTAAAATAAATAAATCTTTAAAAAAATAAAATAAGAATTATAGATATGTTTAAATTTTACAAAGAAAATTGATTTAGAATATTTGACAGCCTCCTGAGTAAGCCCTAAATAACTGCTCTTTTCTTTTGGTTGCTTGAACACACTATCCATACTGTTTTGTTCTTGTATTATTATTTATCTTTTTATGTACATATCTTATATGTTATGTCCTTATCAATGAGAAGATAAACCATTTAAACAAAGAATCTTATTTTATACCTTTTGAACCCTTAGCATCTGACATAAACACTAGTTTGTAGTAAGTACTAAAAAAGTTTTATTAAAAAAAAATGAGAAACTAAGAAGATTATCTGAAAGAATATCTGAAATTAAGGATTTAAGCTCCCCAAAGAAAAAGACAGAATGTTTTGTGTGTATTTTCTCTAGCATCCTTATTACAGAGGACTCAATTATTTACCGATCAATCAATAAACAATTACTGAAGGCCTACCAATTAAGGCACTATGCTATGCCCTGGGGAGACAAAAACAAAAAAGGTAAGTAAAAAATAGTACCCAAAAAAATCCCTGCTGAATCAAATAATAGGTAATTAAAAAACCTGAGGAAGGGCGCCTGGGTGGCTCAGTTGGTTAAGCGACTGCCTTCGGCTCAGGTCGTGATCCTGGAGTCCCTGGATCGAGTCCCGCATCGGGCTCCCTGCTCGGCAGGGAGTCTGCTTCTCCCTCTGACCCTCCCCCCTTTCATGTGCTTTCTCTCTCATTCTCTCTCTCTCAAATAAAGGAATAAAATCTTAAAAAAAAAACCTGAGGAAGAAAAGGGAAAACAACCCTTTAGAAAAAAAATTGAGAACCATCAAATAGAATTAGGCTACTATGAAGACCATTTCTTAAATATATCCATATTATCAGCCTTAGTCATACCTGTATTTATAATCTGATTGATGAGGCTTTTAATGAGAGAGGTATTAATGGGTGCTTCATTAAGAAGAAGTCCCAATCCTGAATAGCCAACTTCTCGGAGCCGAATACGTTGTTTACTTCGTTCATAAACATTTGTGCATTTCAACATTTGTTCCATAACCTGGTCACAGCAGTAATATATACTTCTCAATACAGAGAACTAAGAACATTCTGTCACTTAAGTTAATATTGAATATAATGTTACTGTACAAGCATAATTTTGGAGCATCATTTTACTCCTTAAGTGTAACAAACGAACAAACCCAGAAGTAACAGAGAGGAATACTCCGTATTATACTCTCATTAAAAAATGGATTTAAGAAGAAATTGAACTAAAATGCATTTGTATTTAAATAATATGTTTAAAACTGTAGTTTACATATATTTCTTGCAGATCAAAGAAATAACTTAAAACTTCCTTTTTAATGGCTAAGGCTTAGATAGAAACAAGCCCTATAGCCTCCATGAAAAACAAAAGTATGTTATGAAAGAGAAAAAGATACTTCAAGATCAATCTAGTAATTTATGTAACATTTATGTAACAGTTATCAAAATATTTTTCAAGAACAAGGAAACATTTTGTGAAGCACATCCATATGCCAAAATGGGAGAATGAATTAGTAATCTCATACTTTTTGAAGTGAGATCAACATTTTAAAAGTGACATACTGAAACCCTATGGAAAGAGTAATTTTGGCAGAATAATATGATGAACAATCCACAATTTGTAGAAATTAACATTTAATCTCCATACAGGAACATTTGTTTGGGCAGATACTTTAAAGAGCAGCCTCAGGTGTCACCATAATTAATACTCATGAGAGACTATGCCAGATCATTTTTATTGCACCTTTGTTTTCCAAAGTTTAGGATTCCAAACATAGGCAATCCAAACTTGACCCTACATGTAGACATTATGATGTAACACTAATGATATAAGAAGAAACAAATGTCACAGGCGCATCAGGCATAATGAATAAGTAGAAATATGACTAAATCCTCTTTTTTTTTTTTTAAACAAAAAGGTGAAGTGGATGAAGCTCATAGTGACTACTTTGGATAGCTCAAGAATATATTCATTATCCTTTGGCAAGTTACTAACCTCCTGGCCTCAGATTCTTTATCTGTAAAATGGGACTAGTAATATTCACTTCATAAAGTTTTTGAAAGAACTAAGTTAGCTAATATATGAAGAATGTTTACTGCCTGACAAATACTGGGTACTACATAAGGTTAGTGATTATAATTAACTGCTAAAATGTCTGACCTGCCACACAGACCCACAGTTAAGTCAAAAGAAAGATGAGACAAAATTAGTGAAAGGGAATGGGAGTTACAGGCTTCTAGTTATGAAATGAGTAAGTCACAGGAGTAAAAGGTAAGAGCACAGAGAATTAAAGGTAGTCAGTGATATTGTAATAACATTGTATAGTGACAGATGGTTGCTACACTTGTGGTGAGCATAGCATAATGTATAAACTTGCAGAATCACTATGTTGTACACTTGTGTATCAATTGTACTCAAATTAAAAAAATGTTTTTTAAAAAAAGGCAAAAAAGGGAAATGAGGGGTTTTATACTGAGGATGATATAACAAAGTGGATTTTCCACTAAAATGATCAGATTCCAATATGATTAGTTTTTAAATGTTCAAAACATGAAAAATATATATCAAAACAGACTGAAGAATTAATTAATTAACTAATTAATCAATTTTTAATGTAGGCTTCATGCCCAACATGGAGCCCAACACAGGGCTTGAACCCATGACCCTGAGATTGAGACCTGAACTGATATCAAGAGTTGGACACTTATCCACTGAGTCAGCCAGGTACCCCTACAACAATTTAAAATTGGAGTAGATATGAAAAAAGAATTTACATTCATAAAATGGATATTTACAAATAAATTCATATACTCACAAATGTCCCCAAATATAAAGATGCTTAAGAAATGTTTGTACCTTAAAAACTATTTCTCTTAGTCTGTCAGAGTACTTCTGATTTAAGAGCAAGGCATAAAGTATGTCAGCATTTCCTGGTTCAAACAGCAGTAAGAAAAGCTGACCTCTAGTGGGGCTGGTACGGAGGAGACTGAAGAGCATATCCAAAATTCCGAAGAGCTTTTAAAATTAAACAACACAAAATAAACAATCACACTCATATATGGAAGCACAAATAAAGTCATAAACCACAAACAGTTACTTAAACTAAATCCTATATACACTCATGTTTTAGAGCTTAACTGAATGGTCTGATGTCTTCTGAAATAGCCCTGCCTCTTACCACCATTATGCTTTTAGCTTATTTCTTTTTGTATATCCTCTCAATATGCATATTCACCTGAGCCATACTTATATTGCTTTAGCCACATAAAAAGCCATGTCTTCCATAAAGCCTTTCCTGGTCTCCTCAACATGTAATACTCTCCTATGAAAACCTCATAGGACTTTGTTTCTCTCTTATAGCTATTATCATAGTCTTTTTTTGTTTGTTTCATAATTATTTATAAACCTCTCTTATCCACCCTTGCCTCTGCTAGGCTAAGAGAATGCTAATTCATTCATTATAACATACCTATAATATCTAGTATTACTCTATGTATACAGTAAGCTTTCAATAAATACCTCGTTGACTGAATTGACCAAGAAAATATCACTGGCAATAAATCACAGTGGGTGACAACACAGCTATCATGAAATAAGATGGCTACTGGTTACTCTAGATAAAAAGAAGCTTCTGAAGTAGTCTAACCTTACGGGGAAATAGCTTAACTCATCTATGTAATATCAATTATGAAGTCATGTAATATCTAAGTACACAAAGAATACTTCATCAAAGAGCTAAAATATTTGAGTCAACGTAAATTAAGGACACTCAAGTTTGGTGTTGAGAGTGGTGTACAGAAAGAGCACAGAAATAGCAGTAAATACACCTGGGTTCTATCCCCAGGTCTGTCAGCGCTCTGACTTTTTAAGTCACCTAATCTATCTGAATATGTACTCCAAATGTGCAAGTGGGAAGATCAATTCCTGGTCTGTATAGTTTACATCAGTGGTTCTCAAATTTTATCATGCACCATAATCACCTGGAAGGCTTAGTTCAGTAAGTATGCATTTATAACAAGTTCCCAGGTCAGGAACCATACACTGAGAACCATTGTCTTAAAGAGTAGCTCTGAGGTATAAATGAATAATGTAAGTAAAAGTATCTAAAAATAGAAATATAATTTACTCTTTATGAAAAATTTTTATGAACCTATGTTAAAATTCATGTTAGAAATCTGCCCAGTACCTTTGATGATAGGTAAATATACATGATGTAGTCTATGAAAACAGGCTTCAGAACTGCCAGAACAATTATTTCCAGATACTACTTTCTAGCTAACTAAAATATTTTATTGTATTGCCATCTATTTTATTAAACTTTCAGTTAGGAGATTAAAATTTACTTCTTTAACTGCATAATACTGTATTTCACATAATAAACATTTTACTGTTAAAATATGTTTAATATACGTGTAATTTTAAAAGGAGATGAGATAGCAACTTAAGTGTGAAAAAGAAAAAACAGACTTTTCTTGGGCATAATACCTGTTCTTCTTCATTGATAGCAGCTATGTAACCCATAATACTCTGTATCTCTTCATGAGTTCCACCTTTGCACAGAAAATATTTAATTAGTCCATACAAAGAAGTCCTTATTGTTCGAACGTCATCTAGAGACAGCTCACTATATTTACAATCATTCCTGAAAGAGAAAGTAAAAGTGCAAGAATTGAAATATAAAATGTTTACATTTTAGTGCCTTTTTGTACAAAAGAATTCATAGTTTAAAAAAAAAGATGCTTCCATGTAATTATCAGAATTCATGGTATCTTTGTTTTCTTTTTCCTTTTAAGGAAAACTTTGGGTTTCAATGACAAAGATATAAATAGTTAAAACAGCTTATATTTAAACAACAGTAAGTGGCAGACATAATTTTAAGTGCCTTACATGTTATTAATGCATTTAGTTTAATCCTCAAAACAAACATAGGTTTATTATCTCCTTGTCACAGAGAAGAAAATTTAAGCACAGAAAAGTTAGTTGCCTACAGCCAGACAATTAATGAAACACAAGATTCAAACCCAATCTATGTGATCCACTGTTCATCATCTTAACCTCCACACTTTCTTGTCTTTCTTAAGTTAAAGGATATTAGAATTTATAAATAATCTAAACATTCCAAGCAACCAGCAGGCAGAAAACAATATCAAGCTAAGAAGGAGCAAGGACATCATACCCATAATAAATCCTAAGTGTATCTAGGAGAAACTGCACACCATACTTCTTTCGGAAAACTCTCCTGCTGTCTTTGATGATGGTGGAAAGATACTGTATATGACCTAAAATACAAAGTTCACTCTTAAATAAACACCTAAAATAAAATCCCACAGGTAGTTATAAATTTCTAAAACAAATGTAAAATTTGATCCAACAGACTGCTCTCACCAATTCGAAAGGGAAAATCTCCACGGTTCCAAATACGGAAGTCAAAGAGTAAATACTGATACATTTGCTGCAGGAGCTGTATATTTTTCTCTAATGATACCTGTTCAATTAGTAACTGAATTGCCATCAGTACATTAACATCCATCAAGGAGCTTGGCACCTGAAATCCAAACAGATAAGGGTTCTGTATATTTCAATTATCATTAAGCTACATTTAATTTCAAGTGATTAATTCAGAACATCACTATATGAGAATCTCAGTCACAAAAATATAAACAACTTAAACTTTAATTTTCCAATGTACACTAGAACATATTTTCCTAATGTCATATTCCTAAAACACTCTTAATCAAATATCCCAAATACCAATACTAACAAAGTCCTATATATTAAAGATTATATACTATTATATAAGATGAGTAATTCTTGTAAAAAGGTGATTCCAAAGTAGGCTTTAAAAATCTGCTTGTGAGGGGTGCCTGGGTGGCTCAGTCGTTGAGCGTCTGCCTTCTCAGGTCATGATCCCAGGGTCCTGGGATCGAGCCCCGCCATCGGGCTCCCTGCTCAGGAAGCCTGCTTCTCTCTCTCCCACTCCCCCTGCTTGTGTTCCCTCTCTCGCTGTGTCTCTTGTCAAATAAATAAATAAAATCTTTAAAAAAAATAAAAATCTGCTTGTGAAATAAAATTACATCCACTAATACAACTGAAACCATAATAGCGTTATTTAAAAAAACATTTACTTAGTAAGAAGAAAAACCCTAAAGCCAAACTGCTAATTACAATCATTAGCCACATCTACAAACGTTAAACTAGCTCACCTTCTGAAGTAAGGCACCAAGAGTGGCAACTCCATGAGAGTGAATAAGATTGTCCTGGTTGATAGGGTGTCTTTGAATAAAGTGTTTCACAATCAAGATAAATGTTGCAATTAAATTTCTTTCTAATCTTGACTCTGAGGAATTGTGAACATGTCATTAATTATCATAATTAATCACTTTTACATCACATTTTTTATGTTATAATGCATACTGTAACAAAGAAGAAATTTGAGCAATTTGCTTCCAAAGGTTACTTGCAGAATGCAAGTATCAGAGAAAGCAGCGACTGCATATCATATACTTACATACACATGCAAATATCTTCTCTACCATAAGTTTAGCAATTCTGTCATATTTCCACTAATAGTACAAACTAAGGATAGTCAAGAGTAAAACCAACTTCTTAATTTTTTTGACTAAGGCATTATGAACTTTTGAATTACATTAGTAAAATTAGGGATGGGCTGCTTCAGCTACAAATGGTTAAGTTTCTTCTTAATGGTGGCAAGACATTTTTATCTACTTTTCAATTATCAAATTTCTCAATGACTATTTTGTATTAATTTCATCTTAATACCTGATGCCTTTGTGGAGGTCAATATGACCCAATCTCCTTCTACAGGCGTTATTAATTCAGAAACTGTGCTTTCATTCATTCCTTCAGAAATCTGTCCTTCACCAAAGTGGCTGATTTGTTCCAACAGAGGAAACAGTACATTTAATCCACCTATGCAGTTTATGATGTCCTGAAAAAAGAAAACTACAATTTTTTAATCTTACAAACCAAGGACAATTTTGTCATTTAATATTCACACAACCATGTACAAGGTTACAATTTATTAAACTTTTGGGCAATGTACAGGATAATCTAAGCTAAAGGAAGCCTTGTTTGGGCAGATGCTTTAAAGAGTAGCCACGGGGGTTACCATAATCAATATTTGAGACTATGCCAGACCATTTTTACTGCACCTTTGTTTCCCAAAGTTTAGGGATTCCAAACACAGGCAATCCAAATTTGACCCCATAAGTAAACTTTATAATGTAACACTAATGATATGAGGAAACAACTGTCATAAGGCAATTAAGTATAATGAACAACAGAATAAATTAAGAAAAAAATACATTTGGTGGTAGAAATATGACTGACTCCTCTCCTTTCACTTAACAAAAAAGGTGAAGTGGGTGGCTTCAACCGAAGTTCAAAGTGACTATTTTGTTTTGCATAGCTTAACAAAATACAGTCCATATTCTTTACCAAGTTACTAATCTCTCTGGCCTCAATTTTTTCATCTGTAAAATGAGGATAATAGTAATTCCCACTTTGTAAAGTTGGTACCAGGATTAAGTAAGCTAATAAATGAGTGCTTAGTGTCTGACAACTGGGTACTACCCGCGGTTAGCCATCATTAACTGCTAACATTTTCTGATCTACCATCTAGACACCGTTTCATTGATTAAACAACCCTCTTCATACTTTTTGCCTGTTTTTCATACTGATTTTTAAGGTATTAGTAAGTAAATTAACTTTTTGGAAGGCAAGTATTTTTTTCTCAGTTGTCATTTAACTATTTTTGTGTTTGATTTTGTTGCAGTGTAAAAATACAATGAACGTAAGAGATGCTGAACTCTGGGTTGCTGGAGGGGAGGCGGGTGGGAGAAGGTTTAATTGGGTGATGGGCATTAAGGAGGAGGGTACTTGATGTAATGAGCACTTGGTGTTATATGCAACTGATGAATCACTAAATTCTACCTCTGAAACTAGTTTTAAAAACCTCTTAAAAAAACAAAAAAAAGTAAAATATAATTTTCTGAAGGAAAAAGAATACAATGAACGTTCTTATTAATTCTGTTCCCATTTGATTTCCCCACAGTTGTAACTCAAGGCCCCAAAAACTACTTTGATTTTCAAGTATAATGTACAGCACAAATAAACAGCTTTCTATAAATACATGCAACTAACCTTTAAAGCCAATCTTATAAGTGACAGCAAAAGTTAACTTATGAATGGACAAATGTCATAAATCTTACTATTTTAACAGGTAAAATTAAGTGGTCTCATCTCAAAGAGAAAAATGCTTTATACCACATGAATAACATGAGACTAACATGAATTGATAGATTCATTTTACACTGGCAAGATCCTAATGATCTCTGATCCACTGAAACAATAACCATATTTGATTGGTGTTAACTGACTACAAGATAAAAAGGACTTTGGGGACTCCTGGCTGGCTTAGTCCGTGGAGCGTCCAACTCTTGATTTCGGTTCAGGTCATGATCTCAGGGTCCTGGGACAGCCCAGTGTCGGGTTCCCCACTCAGCAGGGAGTCTGTTTGAGGATTCTCTCTTTATCCTTCTCCCTCTGCCCCTCCCCCTGCTTGTGTGTGCACTCTCTCTCTCAAATAAGTAACTCTTTAAAAGAAAAAAAAAGAGGGGTACCAACTGGGTGGCTCAGGTGGTTAAGCATCTGACTTCGGCTCAGGTCATGATCTCAGGTTCCTGGGATCCAGCCCCACATTGGGCTCCCTGCTGGGAATCTGCCCGTCCCTCTCCCTCTGCCCCTCCTCCTGCTTGTGCTCTCTCACTAAAATGTATAAATAAAATCTTAAAAAAAAAAGATAAAAGGGATTGTTCTGATTTACCAGCAAGTTGCCTTATAACCATCTTTTATATTTTTAATTTTACTTAGGCTATAATTTCTATTTAAGATAACTTGCAAGGGACTAGGGTATCTCCAACTTGACTTTCATATTAATCTAAATAACCTTTATTAATTTAATAATTCAGTGAACAATGTTATTGCATATCCTTGTACGAGGCACTAGTGAAAAAAAGCCATGGTACCTCCTTTCGAAGTTCTGAAGGACTACTAGAGAATCAAAGCAAGCAAACTATCAAGCAAGTTACTATTCACAGTAAGTGAAATGATAAAGTGTTACAGGTACTCATGACAAGAGCAGTTAACTCAATCTTGGAAAATAAGCAGAGGTCTCTTAGAACCAAAGACATTATGTCCAACTGACACATAAATACAAGGCACATCAAGAAGGCAGACAAGCTAGAGGGGGATGTGGGGAAGAGGAAAAGTCACTCATCTTTAGCTTCACAGAAAGCTCTGTGTTTAAAGCTAATAGACAGGAGACTACAGACAAAAGTATGTGATACAGGAGAAAAAGGATAATCAATGAAGTCCCTGAGAGGTTAGGAAGGGTTGAAATCTGCCAGGGATTAAATACCTTAAAAGTAAAGCAATGAACCAAGGCAGTATATTCTTCTTAAGGAAACTGTTAAATTCATGACAGAGTTTAAGAAGGTAACTACGTTTCAAGCAAATTAATCATTCAACTACTTATTTGTTTATACTTCAAACTATGTATCTTGCCTGCAAAAATTTTCACTGGGAGTTATTACTCAGATCAATCTGGTGGTGCTTAAAAGAAAAACTCTTTAAAAGGATCAGTAAGGGCGCCTGGGTGGCTCAGATGGTTAAGCGTCTGCCTTCAGCTCAGGTCATGATCCCAGGGTCCTGGGATCGAGTCCCGCATCGGGCTCCCTGCTCCTTGGGAGCCTGCTTCTCCCTCTGCTTCTCTCTCTCTCTCTCCCTCTGTCTCTCATGAATAAATAAATAAAATCTTTAAAAAATAAAAAATAAAAAAATAAAAGGATCAGTAAACTTATATAATATGTTGCTCATCGTTAACTTACCTTAATGTCCCAGTTCACTACTTTGTTTCCTGTTAATCTTCCATGCAAACAATTAGTAGATAAATCAAGACAGATTGAATTTTTGCAGGCCTAAGAATAAAAGGAAAATACAGCAAACATCTAAGCACAATGAGGACAAAACATAATTTTAACTATATATGAAACATTTCACCATAATTTAAAAGGGTATATATTATAGTCAATGATAAAATGCTTACAATATGAAGTTTAGTATTACTATTCTGATTGCCTCTTAAAAGAATGAGGGACTAGATTCTAAAGCACTCACTCATCAAAAGTAAGTCACTGCTGCTTGCCATCTGACCGATGAGTTATAGCAACAACTTACTCACCGATCACCACAGTTTAAATTTTTTTCTCTTTTAAGAACAAACTGATGGTTGCCAGAGGGGAGGGGAGGAGGGGGTCATGGGCAAAATGGGTGAAGGGGAGTGGAACATATAGGCTTCCAGTTGTAGAATGAGTAAGTCACAGGGATAAAAGGTAAAGCATAGGAGATATAGTCAGTGGTACTGTAACAGTGATGATGTATGGTGACAGATGGTAGTTACAGTTGTGAGCACAGCATAACATACAGACTTGTCAAATCACTATGTTGTACACCTGAAACTAATGTGACATTGTGTGTCAACTATACTTCAATTAAATTAATTCTGTGAAGTTAAAAAAAATTAAAAATGAAAGTTTTAAACTAATATATGCAAACAGATTTTTGGCTCTTCAAAAAATTCAATGCTTTATTCCCATCAGTATTTCGCTAGGCATAATTTCATCGATACAAACAAAATCTGTGTATGTGATACAGAAATCACGAAAGAGAAAAATATGATATAAAAATCCAATCACAGGCATAAGACACTATTTTCTTTCATGTTATTGACAATTCTGGTTATATTCATACTCAGAGTCTAGTCCATCATTCTAGAAATTGTCAAACTTGTTAACTTCGATAAAGAATTATAAAGCATATAACTTCACATTCAATCTGTGAATTTGCAGATAATGAAGCATCCTTGAATCCAATCACCATTCAAAACAAACAAACAAACAACAAAAACCCTACAAATTTTAGCACAAATGATGCATTAGTTGCTTTCTTCTTAAGGCAACTGAGAAAAAAATGCTTTAATAAAACAAATGTAAGCTGAGTTTACATTTAACTCAATGTAAAACTATATTAGTCTCAGAGACAGAAATGTCTTTCTCCCATTACTACCTTAGTTTAGGTCTTGTTTATCTATGACCTGTCCTCACACAATATATCTCCTAATGGCATGGCTGCCTCCCATCTCCTATCCCTCCAATCCAACTTTCATAGTGCAACCTGAGACCTTTTTCTAAAATGCAAACCTTATCATATTTTGTTCTTCTCCTCAAAATCCTGTCCACTGCCTACTTAGCCTGGCATGGGAGGTTTGCTATCATCGGGCCTCCATGTGCCCTCTAATTTAATTTCCTGCCATCTTTTCTTCCTGCTGGCTTAGTGCCCTAAACCCAAAAAATGTAGATCCCAGTTTTACAGTATGTGCCTTTTAGATGCTGCTTGCTACACCTGGCACATCCCTACTCAACTCTTCCTTCTAAAACACAATCTTCTAACCTCCTGAAAGAACCAACCACTCTCCTTTGTTGCTCACTGTACTTTGTACATAATTCCGACACAGAAATATTGTATAGTGGTTAAGAATATGCATTAAATAGGCTGAGTTCTAACTCCAGCACTACCATTCACTAGAATTATGAAGCTAGGCAAGTTACTTATCTTTACTGAGCCTCAGAAAACTAGAGCTTATAAAAGACACAGGTAATACCATATACCCCTTAGAGTTTTTGTGAAGGGTTAAGTGAAACAATACATGTAAAACATTTAGCATAGTGCTTAATATAGTGTAAATAATAAATGGCAGCTAAAAAGAAAAATGCTCATAAAATTATACTGCACTTATTTTTTTTATATATTTACTTCACTTTAAGTTACAAGCTTCTTAAAGTCAGACACTTTATTCATCTTTATATCCCGAAAGTTCAGGACAATTCTTGGCTTGGAGAAGACACAAAAAATTATCAACAATGAATGGTTTAACACCTCCTACAAATGAGTACGAAAATGAAAAATTGTTGACTCAAAAAAATCCTCTAGCGCAGCTTTTCCCAGACTAGCACTTGTGAGATTAAAAAACAGAATGTGTTCTATGCTCAAATAACTGATGAAAGAGTAGGATAAAACAAAAGTAAACTAGTTTCTAACAAGATTCTAACAAGATTTTTCAAGTGTATCATCAATCTCCAAAATGGGTGTACAGAATACATTTCCCCAAACTCTATTAACCACAGAACCCTCATATCATGGTATTATCACCATTTTCAAGAAATAGTCTTCCAAGAAACTGTTATTACATATATCTGTCATACTGAGTTTCTTGAAGAAAAACAATAATAGCTGGGGCGCCTGGGTGGCTCAGTTGGTTAAGCGACTGCCTTCGGCTCAGGTCATGATCCTGGAGTCCTGGGATCGAGTCCCGTATCGGACTCCCTGCGCAGCAGGGAGTCTGCTTCTCCCTCTGAACTCCTCTCTCTCTCTCTCTCTCAAATAAATAAATAAAATCTTAAAAAAAAAGAAAAGAAAGACAGTAATAGCTATTTTCTTTTTTTTAAATGCTTTTTTCGTTTTTTTAGATTTTATTTATTTATTTGACAGAGATAGACACAGCAAGAGAATTAACACAAGCGGGCGCTTGGGTGGCTCAGTTGTTAAGCGTCTGCCTTCAGCTCAGGTCATGATCCCAGGGTCCTGGGATCGAGTCCCACATCGAGCTCCCTGCTCAGCGGGAAGCCTGCTTCTCCCTCTCCCGCTCCCCCTGCTTGTGTTCCTGCTCTCGCTGTCTCTCTCTGTCAAATACATAAATAAAATCTTAAAAAAGAAAAAAAAAAAAAGAATTAACACAAGCAGGGAGAGTGGGAGTGGGAGAAGCAGGCTTCCCGCGGAGCTGGGAGCCAGATGTGGGGCTCGATCCCAGCACCCTGGGATCATGACCTGAACCGAAGGCAGACGCTTAACAAGTGAGCCACCCAGGTGCCCCAGCTATTTTCTTATTACAGAATTTTTACTGCTGGAAATTCCAATAGTAAAAATTCAACTTAATGTTATCAAGTTTAAATTTGAAAAGAGAATATGACAACCATAATGTCAAAAAGACTCAATTAGCTATCACGTCTAGAACATGTGAGATACCAAATACATTACCAAATACAAACACATTAGTGAGATTAAATTCAATTATTTCCTATCTACTTATAATAGAGTGAAAATAAGTATATGATATAGTTCCTGCAAAGAAAATAACTTCAAGTCTAGTTCAGCAGACAAACATAACTCTGGAAAAAAGTCAGTGTTACAAAAGGCAAACACTAAAAAAATAGGAGGCCCAAGAGACATTATAGCCAATGCAAGGCATGAACCTTCATCCAGATTTAAGTCTTTAAAAGACTAAACAAAATATTTTTGGGAAAACTGGGAAAATCTGAATGAGTTATATAGTATGTAAGTTATTGATAATTTTCCTAGGTAGGTTAATGATTACATAGAAATACTTAGGGGTAAAGTGTCTGATAGCTATGTCAATCTGCCTTCACAAAAGACTGGAGACAAAAGTCAACAGGAATGGCAAAATGTTAATAACTGGTGAATTCAGATGGAGAGTATACATGATTTCAGTTCTTTCAACCTCTCTAGGCTTGAAATTAATCAAAATAAAAGGGGAATACAAATGATAGGTAAATTTTATTAGGTCAAATATCACAAATAAGAGTTCAAAGTAATAAATTATGACCATGTACTAGCTGGCTAACCTAGAAAAAAAATTCTACAGTGTATAATCTCACAAAAAGCATCTTCTGTTTAGTATAATGAAGACAGCTAATGTTGTTTATGCCATTTTTCCCTTTCTTCCTCCCAGTTCTACATTTGATCTTTCCCTCAGCCCTTGCTGACCTTTATTACTTTTGCTAGGTAGGTCTTTGAAGGAAAAAGGACAACGCATGCTATGCATGTAAGTAGTTTCTTTTTTCTCCTTCTGAAATAAACATTTCAATTTTTTTGGTTTGTTTTCTTGCAATACATTTAAAAAATAAACAAAAAAATGTTGAGCATAATTGTTTAATCTCTCCTTCCAAAAAAGTAGGATAATATGTTTATTTTATTTTATTTTATTTTAGGATAATGTAAGTTTAAAGTTTCATTCATTGACGTCAATTCATTAGTACAAATTCCCACCACAACGATTCCCACTCTTCCTACTGAGATGACATAATGATTAACATTTGAAACCTAGTTGAGAAGTACACCTTAATTTTTACTGCTTCTCCTCTTCTTTTGAAAATTAATAATTTTTTAATGGAAATTCAAGACTGTCTTTCTCAATTATCCATTGAAATGACAAAAGGAACAAAAAAGGAATTTTAGTTCACAGCATAGTTACAACTAGATACACTCCATGCATTTACTCTCACCTTTGCAGTGTAATGAAGAAGGATGTTACCAGGCAGTTCAGCCATGTCAGACTCCTGAAACTTCCAAGGGCTTAAACAGTTTGGACCTGAAAATTATTTATACACATATACACAAACATCACTGAATATATATGGCCTCTTTGGTTCTGTGTAATTAGATAAAATTTAAAATTAAGTTGTTTCAAACTACCCAACACAGTCAAGACATACTAGCCAACATGAATTTTATTTTTACATCACCTCCAGTTCGTCTAAAACCTAGAAAAGCTGGGGAGTGGTTTGATCTCCACTACAGAAAGGAAATTTTATATGGTATTAAAAAACTAATATCAAATATAACAAAATTTACCTATTAGCTTATCTAATGAAATTTAAATTTATAAGACAAAATGGCAAAACAATCAGCCAATAATGTGAACAGGTATCACAGAAACTGAAGAGTAAATTAACAGGACTTCCTGAAAAATCAAAGAATACAAATTACAACAAGGTTCCACCTTAAATCAAAAAATGGAGGAAACAGTACTGACCATTCCATCTTAATGAGGCTGTGGTGAAACTAGTATACTTATGTTTTACTAGTATGCACTGTGAACTGGTATACACCTTTCGGAAATTGATTAGGCAACATGTATTGAGAGCCAAAAAAATTCGAACACTTTGAATATTTATCCTGGGATTTATCTAAGTAAACCAATCCAAATAAGGAAAAACATTAAAAGTACAACAGTTCATATTATTTAATATTTGAAGTTTATATCAAATTAAAAATTATAAACAACCTAAGTAAGTCATGCAATATAGATTCAATGAAATATTATGCAGCCATTCAAAACATTCATTATGAAGACTATATGACAAATAATTATTTATAAGAGTAGAATTAGAAGTTGGAAAAATTATGAAAATAAAATCCAAACTATATAAGCTGTAATGACTACACCAAATGACTTATTATTAACTTAGAATTTATTTAGATTTTAGATCACTTTCAAATACTTTGGTGAGTTTTACAGTAATGATAAGGTTCTAATATAAACTTTCAAAGTCTAGGCAGTCCCATTCAACTCAAAACTCCTATGTAACCTAAAAAAGACATTTTTACATATAATAGCTCTTCTGCAGTTAATATATATGAATACTTAGAGGTTAACCTCCTGAACATCCTACTAGAATACAGATATAATTCGGAAAATAGTTATGATCCAGTAATAACAAACAGTGTATCTTTAAAATCACAGCCAAAAGAAAAGGAAAAAGCCAAAACAAAAATTGCTTGTAATCTTATCCAAGGTCTCCTAATTCTTCTGTCCTCATTTCTTCAGGTACATTTATATATAAATTATAAAAATGACAAGTTTTAGAACAAGACTCACATGATCTTAGAATCAGTCGTATGATTTCTTATAAATACAGGCTTATATTTTGTTTCAACAATTTATTAAAATCTGTCAAAAGTACTGGCAATATTATATGTTGAATTTTGTCCCCCCAAACTCATATGTTGAAGCTCTAACCCACTCTATGACTGACTATATTTGGAGATAAGGTCTTTAAGGAGGTAACTAAGGTTAAATGATGTCCCTTATAAGAAGAGGAATAGACATCTTTCTTTTTGCACATACACCAAGGGAAGATGGACGCCATGTGAGGACATACTGAGAAGGTAGCCATCTACAAGCCAGGAAGAGTCATCAACAGAAACCAAGCCTGAAGGAAACTTGATTCTGGAATTATAACATCCAGAATTGTGAGGAAATACTATATAAGCCACCCAAGTCTGTGGTATTGTGTTACAGCAGTCCTAACAGACTAATACAGACATTATTATGGATGATATTTGAAAAATTTCCTGAAAATTTGCTTTATTTATGCCTACCAAAAAAAGTATGGTGTACTATATTATATCCCAAAAAGTTAATAAGACAGTAGATCTTAAATGTTATCACAACACATGTAAAGCACTCTAATTATGTGAGGGACAGAGGTCCTAACTAACCTTATTGTGGTAATCATTTTGCAGTATACATGTGTATAAAATCATTACATTGTACTTCTTAAACTTACCTATGTTTTATGTCAATAATATGCCAATCAAGTTGGAGGTGTGGGGGGCATGGAATGTAGTGGGCTTTTTCTTCCCTTTCAGCTTCCATTACAAATACAAATACACTCTTCAGATCAAATATATTCTTCAAAATATATGTAGGCAAAAAAAAAAACTATTTAAGTTTAAATAATATGACTGTACATGCTCACCTGCTAAATACAATGCCTTCACTTGAGGAGGCTGTAGTGCTTCAAAGAAGATGATAACAGACCCTAACTGACCCTCCAGAGATGTGGGGCATCCCCATTCACTATCTTGGGTTCCAGCTGATATCAATTTGGTAATCAATTTTGATTTTTCAAGTGTTCCTCCCCAGGAGGCTGATGACAAAATTCCACCAAATGATGTCCGATGAGGGGTAATGGGGGAAGAAAAAGGTGGATCTGGGATTTGGGAAGGTGGAGGAGTGGTGGTTCTTTGCCCAGCTGAACCAATGCAGCAGGAAATAAAAGGCTAAAAATTAAGAAACAAATAACACAATTTTATTACATCTCTATCTTGATATTGAAAATAAAACAGTACATAAAATTAAGAAAACAAATAGATGGAAAAAAAACTGAAAGTTTTAATTTTATTGCATCATAATGTTTGCATGTGTGTGCACACATAGTAAGTCATTATAGATGTTACTTTTGGCCTATGGGATTTAGATGCATTACTTTTATAACTCACATTTTAATGAGTATTTTTTAAAACTTTAACAATTTTACTATATTCTAAAATAGAGGAAATTACTACTTTTCTCCCTTTAAGATGTATAAACAGAACTATACATTTGTATAATACTACTAATTACAGGTAATCCTGTAATGAGCATCAGGATGAACATCAACAAGAAATTACTAGACTCCTAGGACGACTTGGGAAATAATATATTTCATTATCTTCAAGAAAGGCTCTTTCAAAAGCATCTAAGAATTCTCAAAGAACTTTTACACTAATGTTCTTTAAGAATCTCAGTAAATAAATTCCACCTTGTATCTGACTACAGTTTAATATGTAAAGGCTTAAAGTTTCTTCATTATTATTTCAAATTCAGTGGGATAGAAAACCGTCCAACATAATAGTCTCTAAGTATTTTGTATACCTGGTGGACTTTATTTATTTATTTAGATTTTATTTTTAAGGAATCTTTACACCCAACATGGGGACTGAACTCACAACCCCAAGATCAAGAGTCCCACGCTCTTCCGACTGAGCCAGCCAGGCACCCCATGGAGGGCTTTATTAAATGATCCTTTGCTCTGCTCTATTCAATTTCTTTGGCTTTCCTATTATAACTCTTTTTTCCCCTAAGCCTTTAACTACATTTGTTTCTTCCTTAAGTTGTTTTTATTACATGTTGTCTGACTTTATCTAACAATGATAGGCTAATAGTATTAAATATTAACTTACTATATCTTAGAATACAGAAAACACTTTAAAATTTATGGGCACATATTTAAAATAAACAGAACCTTCTACATTAAACTGAAAATTTTCAAGAGTTCTCAATCAATGGGTCCCATAAAGAGTAGGTTAGATGCAGAGAAAGGGGAACCCTCTTACACTGCTGGTGGGAATGCAAGCTGGTGCAGCCACTCTGGAAAACAGTATGGAGGTTCCTCAAAAAGTTGAAAATAGAGCTACCCTATGACCCAGCAATTGCACTACTGGGTATTTACCCCAAAGATATAAATGTAGCAATCCAAAGGGGCACCTGCACCCCAATGTTTATAGCAGCAACGTCCACAATAGTCAAACTATGGAAAGAACCCAGATGTCCATCGACAGATGAATGGATAAAGAAGATGTGGTATATATATATATACGAATATTATGCAGCCGTCAAAAATGAAACCTTGCCATCTGCAACGACGTGGATGGAACTAGAGGGTATTATGCTAAGCAAATAGTCAATCAGAGAAAGACAATTAACATATGATTTCACTCATATGTGGAATTTAAGAAACAAAACAGAGGATCATAGGGGAAGAGAGGAAAAAATAAAACAAAATGAAACCAGAGAGGGAGACAAACCATAAGAGACACTTAATCACAGGAAACAAACTGAGGGTAGCTGGAGGGCAGTCAGGTGGAGGGATGGGGTAACTGGGTGATGGGCATTAAGGAGGGCATGTGATGTAATGAGCACTGTGTATTATATAAGACTGATGAGTCACTGAACTCTACCTCTAAAACCAATAATATATTATATGTTAATTAACTGAATTTAAATAAAAAAAGAGTAGATTAGATGTGCTTACTTCATTCATGGCAGGAAATCTGAGAGGGGCAGAGACCTTCTGCTGTCCGTTGTCATAGATATAGACAAGGCTCTGACCAAAGGGTCTTTTTCCAGGCATGTGAACAATGGTTATGTTGTGCTAATAAAGTAAGACATACATTTAAAGACTAAAATTACATTAAATCTTTGGAATGACAAATGTTTTCAGAGTATTACTTTTAACTAGTTTGTGTTAATAGTAGAACATTGAGTTTAAGCATACTTAAATGCTGGTTAAAATTTTGTTCTTAAAGTGAATGACAATTTTTCCTGTAGTACTATAAAGGCATTTACATCTGTTCTAGAAACTTTATACATAATTGTAACAGAGTCTCTTTTCTGCATTTTCCAAGTTTGAGTATTCTTTACAATCAATTTTTCTAATGAGAAGCAATTTATACTTCAAGAAAAGCAACAGAAATGCATTGTTTTTAATAATTTATGTTCTCATTTTAAATTGAATTTCAAAATCAAATCTGATTTTAGAAAACTTGAAAGAAATTATAACACTTCCTTTTAATTTTTTAGAAGAAAACTTACTGCTGCTGAATTTATAATCATGATGATAATAATGATATTAACTTCCTTATAGATAAACTTCAACATACGTAGAGTTTTAAAGTAAAAATTAATCGACTCTCAAAAAGGAGACAACTCCTGATGTACATACACCAAGTGTGTCTTTAAAGGAAAGAACCAGAAAGTGAAATGTGATGTCCTAAAACCTTACCCAGAGGGAATCACAGAAACTGTGGTCAGGAAGCATAACTGTAGCATATTCTCTTTTTGTGCACACTGCCACAACCAACATACCTGAATGGGTAATAAAAGCTTCGAAACCCATGCCACTTCCTGTAAAGAAGCTAACAAAAATATATATTATAAGAACTTTCAAAATCAGTTGTTCAGCTTTATCATCGCTGAAACACACAAAACCACATCATCATGAATATCTTTATCAATAATGCTGTGGCTTACATTCTATTGCCACATGTCAGTCCAATCTTGCTTCAAAGATAATTCTTAAATCTTTTTTTGGGCTTACTGGTTTAGTAAATTATAAAAGGTAGCCATATGAGTGGAATTCCATTATCAAACAACAGTAAAACGATAAACTTTAAAATCTTCAAAATTCTTTCAAAGAGGATTCAGAAAGCATAAATAGAAGTCTTAAAAATCACAAGGCATATTAAAAATTATTAGTTACTGAAGTAACTAAGTTTGGATGTACATACACAAAGGTTTTCTGATCCTTCATATAAATATACAGCATTTTCAATGGAACACAAAGATCACCATTCATTTTAAAATTTGTTACTCCTTTTTCTCTACTTTTACAATATTTTTAAGAAGGAACTTTTTTTCCAAACTAGCCTAAGAACTAGCAAAATATGTGAGACGTAATCAGTATCATGAAAGCAATAAAACACTTACAATTAAACTGTGTGCACCCTAAGGATAAAGAGGCTTCAGATAAACTGTTCTGCATTTAAAAATTAAAAGCAGGTTGAAAAGCTTTTTCCTATTTGGGAATTACAGCATATACTGTTATGACGGTATTCATTTATATTCCATAACTTGTACCAGTACCTGTACAATTGTTTTCTTTTTCCTCCTTTGTTAGCATTGCCAAGAGTCAACTGATTCTGATCTAAGCAAAACCAAGCATTGAAAGAAAAGGCAGACCCTGGCCACTTCTGTATGGAAGGCACAGAAATTCCTGCCATACTATGTGACAAATTAAAATACTGCAGTGCGCTCTCTAGACTTTGTTTTCGGGCCATTGTCAGAATTGCTCGAGTCACAGGAGTGGTATAAGGGTGAATATACTCAGATTCATCCACTCTCAGCAATCTTAGTAGTCGACGTATTTCTTCTGAGCTCACGGACTGACTCCCCAAGGAACCATGAAGTGCAATCAAGTTCTCCGCACAAGTTCGATGGAGGGAAGAATGGGAATCAAGGGTTTTGATGATGTGAAGTCCCATGTTTGCATTGACACAAGTAGTTCGACTCTGCCTATTAATACAACAAATTCTTTTCAGCCAATCAGAGATGAAGATTTGCAGATCATGGGATTCTAGCTCTGGAAGCCACTGGATAAGAAGCAAGAGAGGGTGGACATTACTAATGCCCAAAATCCCAACTGAGGTGTGGTCACCCTCTACAGCCTATAAAGCAACATAAAAGACAAAAGGTTAGTAACCACCTTGGACATGGAGATAATGGAACTTGTTTAATAAAGCTAAAAAACTCACCATATTCATAAGTTCTTTAAGTAGTTCCAGTGGTGGCTGACCCAGGGATTTTAAAACCTCAAACATATGTGTATAACCAATTCTTTCTTTAAATACTTCCTAGAGGAAGGGAAATAAATACATCAAAGCACATTTTCAAAGACTGAATTTAATGGAATATTTAAAATGCTGAGTAAAGGGTGTCCGGGTGGCTCAGTCGTTAAGCGTCTGCCTTCAGCTCAGGTCATGATCCCGGGGTCCTGGGATCGAGCCCCGCATCGGACTCCCCTTTCTGTGGGAATCCTGCTTCTCCCTCTCCCACTCCCCCTGCTTGTGTTCCCTCTCTCTCTGTGTCTCTGTCAAATAAATAAGTAAAATCTTTAAATAAATAAATAAGTAAATAAAATGCTGGGTAATACCCATTTAAGTTAATTAACTTAATGTTGAAAAGACTGAGTTCAATATTTGCTTCTTAGATCACTTCTCCATCTTAAAATAAATTCCATATACCTTCTGAAATATGATGTGACCATAATCTACCAAAATATAATGAAATAAGCAATAACTGTATATTATAAAATTATTATATTAATTTCAGATTAAAGTACTATCACTTCCTTTCTTCACTTGATTTGTAATTTAAGTATTATATATAAGTATTAAGTAATATTAATATATAAGTATTAAGTAATATAATTTGTAATTAAATAGTATTACATGAAGTCAAAACAAAAATGAAGAAAAAATGAGACTTTAGGGGTAACAGGAGTCAGTCTAGAAGACTAAAGAGTTCTGGCAATTTTGAGTGGTGACCAGAAAAAAATGGGGAGTTTTCTCTCTGCTTTTTGTATCTAAATGGACTGAATTATCTGGAACATCAAGTTCATTTTAGTAAGGTCTAAGTCATATGTATTTTTGAACTTGTGGGCACACAAAACCATAAACTAAAATAAAAAGAGAACCAAAAAAGCTAGTAATACTAAATTGGTCCAGTGAATCAGGCATAAATTTATACACTTACTACAAAATCAAAAGATTCAAACAAAATGAGTAACTGGTTGTCTCTGGGGACTCCTCCCCAGAGTTGACTGTGAGCCAAGGGTAGAAAGAAAATCTTTTTTCAAAAGGTATTTTTTAATATTAATTCACAGGGATACAGCACCCCTATGTTTATAGCAGTATTAGCTACAATGGCCAAATTATGGAAACAGCCCAAGTGTCCATCAACTGATGAATGGATAAAGAAGATATAGTGAGAGAGAGAGTGTGTATATGTGTGTGTGTGTGTGTGTGTGTAGACAGATATATAAATATATATATGATGGAATATTAGCCATAAAAAAGAATGAAATCTTGTCATTTGCAATGACACAGATGGATCTAGAGAGTATTATGCTAAGAGAAATAAGTCAGTCAGAGGAAGACAAATACTGTATGAGTTCACTTATATATGGTATTTAAGAAACAAAACAAAGAGGCCAAGGGCAAAAAAAAAAAAAAAAAAAAAAAGGAGAGCAAGAGAGGCAAATCAAGAAACAGTCTTAACTATAGAGAACAAACTAATGGTTACCAGAGGGAAGATGGGTGGGTAGGTAGGTTCAATAGGTAATGGGGACCAAGAAATGTACTTGTTGTGATGAGCACTGAGTATTGTTGGAATTGTTGAATCACTATATTGTACACCTGAAACTAATATTATGCTGTATGCTAACTAACTGGAATTTAAATAAAAACTTAAAAAAAAAGAATACCAAGCATTTTTTAAAGGGCTTTTTTAAAACAGAGATTCTATTTATTTAGAGAAAAAAAGAGAGAGAAAGAGAAAGAGAAAAAGCATGAGCAGGGAGAGGAGCAGAGGGAGAGGGAGGTACAGAATCTCAAGCCGACTCCGTGCTGAGCATGGAGCCAGACGTGGGGGTCAATCTCACAACCCTGAAATCAAGGCCTGAGCCGAGGTCAAGAGTCTTATGCTTAACTGACTAAGCCACCCAGCTGCCCCCAAAAAGGGTATTTTTAAAATAACCTTTTGAATTTTAAACCATGCAAAGCATTACATAATAAAAAAGTTACATTTTAATAAGACTTAAAAATCATTCCAGGTCTGAATATCATAATACAGTACAGCCAACCCATTATACTCATAAACCAGTTACTGAGAACTTAAAATGATTTTTTTCTTACAGCAACTATTATAAATGGGATTTGATTCCCAAGCCAGCCTGTAAAAGTTGTAAAAGCCTATCTGGTAGGCATCTAACCATGAGTTATATATAGCAACATTTATAGAGCAATTGTTAGTCTCCTAACAAAAACCAACGAACAGTAAGGAATACTACTGAAGGCATGGCTTAGGGAACAAAGAATAATTCATTGATGTCTGCCATTTATATTAGAGGTGGCAGACAGAAGGTAAAATGGTAACAGTAATAATGATGATGATGATAGACACTGATATTCATTAAGCATTTATCATGTGCCTGGGACTATGCTTACCACTTTATACAGATGACCTCATTAATCCTTAAAACTATTCAATGAGGAAATTACTAGCACAAAATCAGCATAAGTGAACAGCAGGACAAAGCAGTGGTAGTGAATGAGATGGAAAGAAAATCCTGAGAGTAACAAAAAAGCAGAATTTCCACGGCCAACTGGAAAAACAAGTCCCAAACCGATAAGGCTGTTCACATGTGGAAAATGTTCACAATCTAGGCAGTCATAAACTGAGCAAATAGTCAAAGAGTGATTATTTTATTAATGAAGAAAAACTATGATATAAAATGTAATTCTTTAAACACGCTAACCATAGAATCACATAAAATGATCATTTCAACACCAGTGCTACCTTTGTTGACTGATACTATAAATCTCTACAAAATTACAGTTCTATCATATAATCCCAAAGTAGTGCCCATAGGTGTTTGCTCTAAAATTATCAGCAAAATGATTCTTACACTGAGATAGTTTGTGAACTATTTCACTTCAGGTGTGAAATCACAGGTATTATATACATACTTTCATACATTACTTTGGGAATTATACAGTGAAAATTAGTTCATCTAAAATAACATTTTAGAGCTTAAAGATGTATGTTTCACCTTAGCAGCTGGAGATTTGTTCATTACTGCTGTCAAAGCCTGAATGGTTGATATAGCCAAACAATCCAATTGTCCCTGAAACACCTACCATAGAGAGAGAGAAAAAAAAGGTAAGAAATTAACAATGTGTTCAAGATTTGTATTGTTAGGAAACCTTTGTTCTGAAAACCTGAAAAAAATAATTACTTAACATGCAATACATTCCTCTTCCAATAAAACAGATTTCTGAAACACTATACCTGCAAGAAAAGTTACCTACTTGACAGAAAATAAGCCATGTGTCAAGAAGGATAAGGTCACATTCACTCATTACTTTGAAATGTTTTGGAAAAAAAACAAAAACCAAAAAGAACACCAAGCTTAATACATGCTTTTAAATAATGGACAATCTCCAGAGGAAGGGAGGGAAGGCTATCACTGGAAATTCTATCACATTTTAATTTCCCTTCAGAAATACACTGAACTTCCTAGGTTGAAATTTCATTATCATGTATAATAAGATGTTTAAAATGGTGTTACTTGGTTTACAAGCCCTGTATTATAATTGAAATGGTATGTTTATTCACCAATCACACTTGCAAACATAAGGCATATCTATTTTTACATAAAATTCAAAATTTGAGGCAGAATAGAAAATGTAGTATGTATCTATAAGCATTATCATGTTTTTGAGAAGGCAACCTTTAATGCCAAAAGCTGTAAAAAATAAAAACCACCTTCAGCTTCATTTTGTCTATTTCTGTTTAAGCTTCATCATAAAGAGATGTGTTAAATTTCAGGGCTATGCATTTAGAGAAAAAAAGTGAAAACAAAAGGTAACATTAACAACATTAAAAAACTGAACATGACTGTTATATCACCAGGTTTAATCAACCATGAAAGCATAGCAGGAGAAGTACAAAGTTGTAAAAACTCACAGTCCCAAAAATCTGCTTTTGGGAATATATTACTATGACTTAAAACTAGTTACTCCATGAATAGGACTTTCCTTTCTCCCTTCCACTAAAAATGATTTGAGTAAAAGAGGACTGATTAGATCTTTGTCATTTTAAGCTAAGGTCTATCATTTTTAGGCAAGTTATTTAAGCCAGTATCTTGATTTTTGTTGATGTTATTAAACATTATTACATAGAGCATATGTAATAAACACATAATATACATTAATCATTCTGAATAAAGAATTTCATATGAGTAAGATCTTTCCTATACTTTGTTCAAGACAACTAGGCCATAGTACCTACAATTAGGAATACTAACTAACATAAACCTCTAAGAATATCATTGTAAATATTTTATTAATCTACATAAGAAGGCCTTAAGACTAACATTTATAGAGAAATCTAAAACAGTACTCTATAGTTGATATTTTACATCCAGAACAGAAAATAATAGATTTTCATGTCTCTTTATACCACAGCTCTATTTATAAACCTGGGTATTAAGATAATATTAATAAAAGACATCATGTAAGCTCTCTGAAAACATTTTGGGAAAGAAAAAAACCAAAGTAATAGGTAGTTTTTATAGGTGGTTTTTTTCAAAACTGAATTACCTAATGCTGAAAAGCAACAAAAATTGCTTATCTCTGCTCTATACCCATATAGAGGTGACTTTTTAGAAAAGAAAACAGTTAAAAGTTTTATGCTAAATTAAGACTCAAAGAGTTCAGCATCTTCTCCCCTTCCTCCAGGATTTGGATGTCCATTGAATTATAATCATTACTTGTCAACAAGAAGCAAAGAATCAAGATATTAAAATTGACCACACATATTCACAAACAAAGCCTAAGGTTCCAATACACCACAATGCTTAGAGAAAGAAGCTCCCAAAATATGAAGTCACCACCACGTGGACAGCATTGATATTGGGATTCCATTCCTGTACTTTGTGTCTCCTTAAACTGAAAAGGATGCACACATATACAAATGGAATACTGTTGATCATTTGTATCAACCACCAAGATTTCAATATATTTATCTTTTAGATGAAAAAAATTTTATTTTTAATTTTTAACAATTTTTAAAAATAATAAATGAAGATTAGAATTAGATAGTGTTTGTATATTTTAAGACATAAGAAGAAAAGTACAGGAATAGTTGCTCCCATTGACTGATTTTGGACTTCAGATGAAACAAGATGCAGGCTTTGTAGATACCTGGTCCTCATTTATTTCTGTCAGTAATTTGTTGGCAAGGTCTTTCTCGTTCTTGTCTGCCACCTTATTGTTAGCATTTAAAAAGAGCTGTTAAAAACAGAGATAAGAATAATGGAGAAAGAACATGAAATAGTTACCTAGAAGCAGAAATGAAGTTTAAATGGATTTCCATGTCTCTTGAAAATAAATTCAAGAACCCACTGGTGAAGTATATCACTTTTAAAATGACAATCAACTATTCACTTTTTGGATTACAAACTAACATTAGTTCATATACTATATAATTAATTGCTAGTTATTTCTCTCTTGGAACTTGAAGTTACTAAAATAAAAAATAATAGCAACAAGTAGATTAATTAATATTCCTAAATTCTTCAAGAATCAGCAGAAAATATCTCACAAAAAAGAAGGAAATTTGCTACTGAGATAGATTAAAGGATACTGTAGTAAATAATGTGCAGTAAGGATTCTGTAGTCAAGTCTGTTTATAAAATGCTATTAAAAAAGAGTTCTTTCTGAAAATACTTATCAGAGTCTCAAATATGCTAATGTGCTTTGACAAAGGAGGTAATTATTTTCCAAAATCATCAAGAGTTGAGTATAATTTATATTAGTTTCTACACAACAGGAGATTAGGATTACCTCTGACATACATGGGGATTGTTAAGGGAATCAAGTATTTTGGTTTAAGTATATAAAATTAGCATCCCAAAAGATCTCAGGCACATTTTGTATAAAAAGAAAGATAATTCATATAAGTGAAAAGGGAAAGAAAGTTAGATTTATAAAAGAATTTATCAAGAGCATCCTAAGAAGGAAGTTCTATCAGAAAATAAAAAACAAAAGTCCAGTAATATACTGAAATAATGCAATATAAAATAAAATAGATAAAGATAAGGTATGACATGATATGTAGAGCATATATAAAGCTTAACCTAAAAATAGATCAGTGTACACAACATAGGCATTGGAATCAAAAACCTGGATTTGAATCCTGGTTCTGCTAATTATTAGCTGTGTGGTTTTAAGAAAAACTACTTAACTTCCCTGAGTTTATTTTCTCAAAAGGGAAAAGAGTAACTCATGAAACATGGGTGCAGATTAAATGAGATAATCCACGCTAGGTTATTAACATAGTGTCTAGCACATAACAAGGGTTTAATAAATGAAAGCTGTTATTATTAACAGCAAAATTTACTTTTAAAAATTTTATTCATTTATTTGAGAGACAGAGAGAGTGAGAGAGAGAGAGACAGAGAGAGAACACAAGCAGGGGGGAGGGGCAGAGGGAGAGAGAGAAGTAGACTCCCCGCTGAGCAGGGAGCCAGACACAAGGCTTGATCCCAGGACCCTGGGATTATGACCTGAGCCGAAGGCAGATGCTTAACTGACTGAGCCACCCAGGTGTCACAACAGCAAAATTTTTTAAATAGTAATATTCCATATTACCTGGTGCAGGGAACAGGAATGCTAAAAACTGATGAAAGCAAAAATGAGTAAAGGCTTTCTAGAAAGCAATCCATATCAAGAATCTTAAAATTACTCTTTGTCAATAACTGTATTTCTAGACATCTACCCTAAAAACGGTCAGAAACTCACACCAAGATTTTAAAACCAAGACGCTCACTTCAGCTTTATTTACAACAGCATAAAGTAAGAAACCACCCAAATATCCTTAAATAGTAGAATAGTTAAATAAATTATGATTCATCCATATGCTGAAAGGGAAGTCCTTAAACTTTCTGGCCTCAAGACCACTTAACGTTCTTAAAAATTATTGAGAACCCCAAAGAACTTCTATTTATGTGGGGTTACATCTCTCAATATTTACACATGAAAAATTAAAGTCAAAACATTTAAGTAATATTTGTTTAGTCATTCAATATTACATGATGACATAAATAACACATTTTTATGAAAAAAACCTTTATTTTTCAAATATACATTAGTGAGAATGGCACTTTTACATTTTTGCAATCTCTTTAAAAGTCTGACTTGATAGAAGACAGATGAACTCTAATATCTACTTTGCATTCAGACTGTTATGATAATGTTTTGATTCAAGTTTATGAAAAAAAAAATCTAGCCTCAAACTGAAATGTTAAGATTAGACTTTGCAGATTCCCTAAAATGATCTTGGGGGCCCCATACTCTGAGAACTGCTGGGATGAAATATTTGCAGTCATTAAAAACAATGTTTTGAAAAATATATGATGGTATATGGGAAAGACTCATGATGTAATACATATAAAAGCAGTATACAAAAATATTCACTGGTATTCCAATTTTGTAAAGAAAAATATATCCTCATTAAAAATACATATGTAAATACTGTTATGGGTATTTTGCCAAAGTTTTTAAAATTTAAATATTTATATATACATACATGTTTTACAAAAAGATTAAGAAAATATATTTTTATATTTCATTTTTCCTCCAAAATCTGTATTATTGCTCTACAATTGAAATAAAAATCTACTTTAAAAAAATGAAAAGAAACTTGTTCAAATAAGGCAATGTGTATGAATCCAGGCAGGTACAACTCCCAAAATCAACCTTTCAACTATACCATTCTATGTATCCACTCCCAACCATCATTTCCACAAAGCATCCCTTAGTTGTTCCTTTCATAAATTCTCATTCCTACCAAGACTGCTGTAGCGATAAATTTTGTGTTGTAGTTGATTTTCAGGGGTAGAGGTGGAGAAGGAAAGGAAGAAAGTGAAGAAAATAAATTAAGGAATGTAAACAAGACAATAGTATCAATAGCTTTCCAGAATCTTATGACTTAAGTCCTCAAATAGAACTTTACATATTTATAATACATTGCAACATCTATATTTTTTTAAAAAACTGATTAAAACTCCAAGCAGAATGCTAAAGTAAATGTTATGGTTTTGAACCGTAACCTCTTTGCTACTAGAAATTTGCTGTTACTTTCTTCTCATTACTCCAAATACCTTGGACTGCTCCTAAAAATAATTTTTACATTAATTCAAAGCATATCCCCCTTCCAAAATGCAACATGGTGACACAAAACAACTCTCAAATGTTTAAGGTTCATCATAGCTATCAGAAAAGTTAAATGTATGATTTCACTGAATTATATTCTAAGTACTTCACAGTATGATGAAACTCATTTTGACAAACTAAAGGTCTTTAAACAAATACTTAAGGAAATTAATGCATAAACTGGCTGGTGAATCTCATACAAAAAGAAAGCACAGAAACTACACCAGTCAGCCTAGTTTTCCATGTAATTCATAAAATGTTTAAGCTTTAGATGACAATGCTTCCTCTGAGTCTGAATATTTAAACAACAGTTGTCTTGATTCTGTATTACTATGTAAAATAGAATAAATTATTTATTCCTTACTAACAAAATAATTTAAACAGAAGTCAATCATAGTCATCTGTAGCATCCTGTAATACATTTAAGAACTTAAGTTTTCACAAGATTCCGAACATTTTTATACATTTAAGAATCATATTAACCTATCCCTATCAAATGTATTTATCAATAAAACCTGTACTCCTCCTATATTTAATACACAGAAAACATTTTTCCACTGACCTTAAGCACCAATACAACAAAATTACATACAACCAGTAAACTCAGGGTCAGAATACCTGAGTAAGAAATCCTGGCTCCATCATGGAACAGTATTAACCTTGTGTTAATCATTTAATCTCTTAGGACCTATTTCCTTCATTTGTATAATAAAAGAGTTGGGCAGTTTATTTTAAAGGTTCTTCCATGTTGTTAGGACTTAGTAACTGTAATGTTTAGTGATGAGTTTATAGTGATTCTGACTAGAATATCCTGCCTAGAACACCACCTCCAGCAGAGAAGGGTAGGGTCTCAAAGCCTGGCTTTCCCCTCTGAAATGGGTTTCTTCTGTAACATTTCCTGTCTCAAAACAAAATGTGATAAATGCTATCAAATAATTAAATTTTAAAACACCAGGACTGTCAGCAAGTCTCCAGATCTGAATTATACGAAACTCTGGCCTATACGACAGTAGAAAGAGCAAATATTAGCTCAACATCATGACCGCTATGCCAAAAAGCTTTGCACTTTTTTAAAAAGATACTGTTGACCGTGATATGACATTTTTTAAAATAGCTGAGTTTCATATATTGAAGAAAAACACTAATCAATTTTAGTAGGAACTACATTTTATCCTAGTGATTTACTCTTCTATAATGTGTGACTGGCAGGTTCTCTTATACATGGGAGATTTTGTCTTGATGAAGTTGCCTTTGTAACTGATAAAAACACATTGCTTTTTTTTTAAACAACAAACAAAAGGTTTTATAAAGTTTCTTATGCTGTTTTCATCTCCCTAGGATTTCTTTCCCAAGAATAATGTTTAAAAGGTGGGGGGAGGCATCTTCACTCTCTAGTGGTAGTACTTTCATTGACTTTGTAAATATTCATCCTATTTACTTCATCAATATATTCCTTATTTTTTTAATACTATTTCTTTAATCTTTCTGCTATAAGCTAAGCAACATAGTGACATAAATGCTTTCATAGGTATCTCTCCTAACAGTGTGAAAAAATTCGAGGAGCTGATGATATTAAAATCCTCCTTTTGGGATATCCTCACAAAATCAGAATGAAACCCTAGCATTTTTCAGCACAGATTCCATGAAAGGAATACCTCAAATAGAAAAGTAAAAGCTCTTTGAAGTAGTTCCATTTTCAAAGGCTTTTCAAGAAGCATTCTAAAAAATTTCTGATACCATCTTGAAATTTATGAAAATAAAATAATCAGATATTAGTTATTATGTGCTCACAAATCTGCTACAAATATAAACTAGTAAAAAAGAAAAATAATAGCAAATTAGCAGGATATATCAAGACCATTAACAGTATTTCTATTTTCCTACTTTTCTGTATTCCCCAATTTACAAATTGTTTTTATATAATGTTCCCTAATTTTAAGCATGTTTGCCCTTTGACCTAGGAATTCTACTAGAAATAGAATTCTGGTCTATGAACTTGAAGGAGTTATGGAAATAAGTTGAGTATTTGCCATAGGGAATAGTTAGGTAAATTATGGTACATCCACTTAATATTATGTAGATATTAAAATCGTAACACAGGAAAATGCAAACAAAATCATCTTACATGAAACAAAAGCACAAAATTATATGCATCAAATACACCAAATTTTAACAATGCACAACAAAAGACTTTAAAACTCAACAACAAAAAACACACAACCCAATTAAAAAATGCGCAAAGAACCTGCATAGACATTTCTCCAAAGAACATATAAAAATAGCCAATAAGCACATGAAAAGATGCTCAGTCTCATTAATCATCACGGGCAAATCAAAATCACAATGAGATGCCATTTCACACCAATTAGCATTAGCTGTTATCAAAAAGAAGAAAATAACTATCGAGGAGAATGTGAAAAAATCAGAACCCTTATGCACTGCTGGCAGGAACATCAAATGGCACAGCCACTGTGGAAAACAGTAAGGTGGTTCCTCAAAATATCAAAAATTTAATTACTATATGATCCAGCAATCTCACTTCTGGAATATATCCAAAAGAACAGAAGCAGGGACTCCAAGAGATATGGGTATATTCAGGTTCATAGCAGCTTTATCCACAATAGCCAAAAGGTAGAATCATAACAAGAGTCCATCAACACATGAATAGGTAAACATAATGTGGCATTTACAGACAATGGAGTATTATTCAGCCTAAAAAAAGGAAGAAAACTCTGCAATATGCTACAACAGGGATGAATCTTGAGGACATTACGCTAAATGAAATAAGCCAGTCACAAAAAGACAAATACTATATGACTCTACTTACATGAGGTACTTAGAGTAATCAAAAATCATAGAGACAGAAAGTAGAATGGTGGTTGCCAGGGGTTGGAGGGAGAGGAGAATGTGGAATTGTTTAATGGGTCTATAAGATGTAAAGGGTTATGGAGAATGGATGGTGGTGATAGTTGCACAGCAATGTGAATGTATTTAATACCACTGAATTATACCCTTAAAAATGGTTAAGATGATAAATTTTATGTGTATTTTACCATAATAAAAAAGAAAATCAGTAATATGTTTAAATTTGAATCAAAGCATAAACAAAATAAGAGCTTTCTAAAATCAAAGACAATAGTAATAGAAAAATACCTTGCAATTCTGTAACAGTCGTATGAGATGTTCAAAGCAATTACTGTTAAGAAAAATGGCCTGAAGAACAGGCCTATCAGTGCAGTCTAACATGGCTGTGATGGTATCTAGGAAAATAAAAACAAAATCATCCATTTATAAAGTGGAAAATTTGGGATCACAGAAACATTTACTTTGGCTATATTTTTAATTTAGGCTTTTCAGCTGACAGATGTAAATGAATTAGGAAGAAATAGGGATGGAGGGTGGAAAAAAAACTGTACTTATTACTTGTTAAGAAAAATGAATATTTTTATAATTTATTATTAAAAATATTTAAATTTTTATACATAAGAGTGATATATATCTCCCAGAGATTTACATAGTTATTCTTCCATTATAATGCTCAAGTATCACTAAGTGAGGTTTCCAACTTGCTATTAATATGTAACACCTGGTTATGTTTTGCAACAGTATCATTTATACAGTATAAAATTAGCAGGTAGCCATTAAGAAAATGGGACTTAGGAAATCAATCCATTTTATGATGATGGTTTGCTTTTGTTTCCTACTGAACAGATATTCTCATTCAGAAATCAAGGAATAATCAGCATAAGTAATACAACAGTTCTTAACAAATAAGTCCATTCAATATAGACTCAAACTTTCTTATAAAGTTATAATTTATAACAATTATAAAACATGTTTTATAAAAGAACAGAAACTAGACAAAATGAATCTTATTTTTCTATAGAAACAAAGTCTCTTGTGCATTGTAAGGGATCAAGTTTCACCAAGATTCTGGTGTCCAATATTTTTAAATTAGACACCACACACACCCTTACACAACCATGTTTTTAAGTCTCTAGAGCTGTACAATAAACCATTAATGTTGGTTATGTCTGGGTGGTAAAATATAAAAAACTTTTTACTTATCCACATTTCCTAGTACAGCTGTAATGAAAATATTTTATTTCTATAAAAAGAAACTCTCAATTAATAATACTTGTACTATCAATCTAACAGGGGGATATTGATGAAAGAGCTTATAGAGAAAAACAGAGATATATAAGCAAAGAATGACACAAACCAACAAACACAAAGAGAGGGAAAGAGAAACGAAAAAAACAAAATAAAACAGAGGTCCTCTAGAGAAAGGAGAGATGTTAAAGTGACATCTATAGAGATTTACAGAAGGACATATAAAATTGTCATATGTGACTCTTGCCATGAGTTAGACAATGCAAATGACACCTCCTGAAAACTTACTTTTCCTAGAATTTGAAAATAATAGCTGACTTTCTTTTTAACATTGATGCTTTTAATGGATCACACTTTCAAAAAACAATAGAGGCTCAATTTTGTCACTGTTAAAGCAAAGATGTTGTAAACAAATTGATTCCATATTAATTATTCTGAAGTCAAAATCTAAAGTCACACGATAGCTGAATTAAACAATCAATACTTCTATATGATAGCCTTGAATTTCAAATGAGTCTTAAAAAACAGACTCAGAGAAAACAGAGTATAATAAACTTTATGTAATACTTACTCAGCATTTTTATCTGCAGCGCTATGAACCGGCTTTCCCACTGTCTGGACCTCCTTTGATTAGGTAAAGCTGAATGATCTGAATTTAGCAATTTAAAATAGTTCTCCAAAATAGTGCTGGTTTCCACCTGACGCTGATCAGAGCTGCTAGTGAGAAGGATATGTACTACTTCTGTAAGGCACTTCAGAGTAAGTTCCACCTTCCTACCCACTTCTTCAGGATTTCCATCCTCCCAGGAATCACAATCTGCCAAAACTCTCATAAGAACTTCCATGGTGGCTGGAGAAATTGCTTGCAAAGCATTCCTCTGAAACATGAGAGATAATAAAAATGAAACCCAAATCTAACTGAAATTTTGTATGTTTGCAAAAATAAAGTTTAATAAATCTGCAGACTTTTTCTTTTAATAAATCAACATAAAAAATTTTATCACATACTTTGACAGACATTGCTAGTGTTTTATGCGTATTAAGTCTTATAATATGTAAGTAAGTACTGGGCTAGATTACTAGATTTTCATTTTTATTCAGAAAGCAATCTGCCCACATAGAAAACTTGTTTACCACCCTCCTTTGCAGCTGGGGTAGCCATATGACATAGTTCTGGTCAAGAATATATGCCAGTAGACTATAAAGTAAATATAACTTTACAAATAAAAACAGAAGAACCCTTTGCTCTTGGCCTTTTCATCTTTTTCCTGCCTGGAATGCAGATACAATGCTTGAAGCCACCTTTAAATCTTGAAGAAACAAAACCCAAGAATTATAATAAAGAAAGCAGAACAGGAATGTGAAAGGACTTAGTCCTTGAGGATACCATGGAGCTGCTATACCAGCCCAGAACTGCCTACATCTGGTTTTCTTGAGCCAACATAAAAACAAAACAAAACAAAAAACAAACAAAACCCTCAATTTGGTTAAGCTTCTCTAGGATTTTGTGTTGGTTATAGCAAATCCATCCCAAATATAGATATATTAGAGGACTGGCTTGACTCTGATTCTACAAACATATTTCTGAAATTCTAAATAATTGGTAGCTATTCGAGGTGATCCATTAAACTTGTAAATAATACATATTGCCTAAAACTGTTAAACTGATATATAATGAATCCAAACATAATTATGCAAAATCATCTAAAAGTAACAGCACTTTAGGCCATTAGAGCTTATTATCAATATAATAAATATTATCAATAACAAGCGCTACAATGGGAGAAACTGCCAGTAGAACACCCAACATCCATTTTCCTCCACTTCCTTATAAAAAGAAGCCCTGATATTTTACTGGACATGTGGCTACCAGAAATAAAGATTACATTTCCTAACCTCCCTTGTTGCCAAGGAGGCTGAGGAAGCACGTTTTATCAAATTTTTTATCTGGACGTATTTTCCTTTTTTGCAGTTATCTCATGGAGTTTGGCAAATGAGATAAAAAAAAGATGAGTGTCAGCTTTTCAGTATCTCCTTTAAAGATAGTTGGCATGTGCCATTTGTCTCCCTCCTCATCTCCCCTCCATTTTTGTGCCCAAAATACAAATGCAAATGGCCAGAACTCTAGAAGCTAATCATGTTGCAAAAGAAATAATAACAAATTGACATTCAGAAGGAACCTGGATCCTTGAAGATCCTAGAGCCACCAGATTAACTCTGGACTGCTTACTGCTATTTTTTTTTTATGAGGAAAAAAAAGTAAACTTCTATCTTAAGCTGTATAATTTTAGTATTTACTACTAATTATGGGAATCACACATCTAAGTGATAGACCTGTGACTTACTTAGTTCTTGTAAGCACTTTACATATATTATGTGTCATTTGGTCCTTAGGACTATCTTGTAATTGTTACTGTTTCCATATTATAAATAAATACTAAAACACATGTAAATATAGAAGCTAAAACACATGTAAACAGTTTATCCAAGGTCACACAACTAGTCAGAGATGGACATGGGATTCAAACCTATGTCAGTCTGTCTCCAAAGCCTATCCTCTTAACATAACACGAAACAACAAATGTGCCAATGGGAAGCCTAGGCATGATGCCTGGAGAAGGGAGACCAGTCACGGGACTTCAATTTTTCTGCTGTTTATGACAAGGCCATTCTTAGACCTTTAGATATTCAATTCATCTAAATATCCTTGTATTTACTCTATATTCAATAAACTTCTGACCTCAAAACAGCTATAACTACAGCTATAACCTGATTATAAGGATTTTGAGCATTTTTAGTACATAAAATAATAAATTGGCCTTCTAGTAGCTACTTGATTTCTACGTGAGTTTTAATTATTGGAGGTCTCTCAGTGCTTCATTACCCCTGGGCACTAACAAAAAGAAGTCTCTGTGTTCAAAATGGTAATAGGATGTAACCAGCTTCTCCACTAGTCAAAAACAATGTCATTTCCAATTTTATTCACGTATACTTATTTTTAGTAGCAGAGAAACGACGGAAATGAGTAGATACTGATGCAAAAGAAGAATATCAGCTAATAAAGGAAGGTGACAAAGCAAACAAACTGAAAAATAAGATTCTAGTCATTATCCCCCTCACAAAAAAAACAGACTCTTCTACTAGAGTGAAGAGGAAAGGCAAGGTAGCCCACTAGGAAACCCAAATAGTATTATTAGCAATATCTGTAACTTTGTTACCAAAAGAAATCCTATATATTTTCATATATTCTAGCTGCAATGTCTTGAAAATCATGTTTGTCTTTTTTTTGAAATTACATTTATTACTAGACTTGCTGCTATATCTCTTTAGTTAGTGTTATAAAAACACATTACTATGTTACAAATTTATCTTAATATTTTAGTAACTGCATTTTAGCATAATTAGTTTCCTTTGCGATCTTATGTATTTAATTTTATGCATTTGAAATATTCCAACAAGGGGCTTTACAGATTGTCAACGGCATAGGCAGCACAAAAAGTGTTATAGAAACTTCTGATCTAAACTGTGTGCTTAAAGAAAACATATAGGATGTTCTTTCCAAACTATAATCCTGTTTTCAGCTAGTAGTTATACTCAAAGTTAACCACAGAAAACTTTCAAGATGCTCACCTCCAAAAATAAAGAAATAAGGATTACTAGAATTTCTTTCTTTTGAGTAATAAAAAGTTACTTGGGTTTGTTGAAAAAAATGCATATAAACCTTGTATATATGCATTTAGAAATTAAGTAGACAGAAGAGTGTTTAATTCATATATACTTAATTTTGAGTTTGATTTCATCATGTGGACTAACAAGGGCTGACTTTATATTCTAAAGTAAGAACTAGCAGTTGAAAGTCAACACAACTAAGAACTTACAATAAAAAAATTGTTAAATATGGTTATTTAGGCAGTAATTTTATTGTTAGTGCTAATATTATCACTTAGGTTTTTAAAGCAGTTTTAAAAGATTAGTTTTAAACAAGATATAAACCCAGAAAAATATCCGTGTGGTTCATGAAATTATAAAAGAACAAAGAATACATTAAATAATCCACAGAAAACTTTTTGCACTGTTAACTATTGTTTTAAATATTAACTTTCAACACTTTCCTCACCTGCCCACCGGCTATAATGGCTCCAAAGAGATGCAATAAGCAACACTTAAGACTTTCCTTGAGATGTTCACTTTCCTGAAAACACTCTGTGAATATAATACACAAATAAACAAGTAAGATTTCTCTTTCACAGTATGACTTATCGCTAAGGAATGTCTGACACTGAAACATTAAAAACTATTAAAAGGCTAAAGTTTGTTAAAAGGCAAGGCTGATATGCATTTTTTCATAGTAAAGGAAAAGAGAACCATCAATCAGGTAGTATTTTAGATAATTTATTTATGTTACCTCATTTAATTCTCATAATACTCCATATGAGAATGTTTTGCCCTCATTTATAAATGAGCAAATGAAATGTCTTATCTAAAGTTATAGAGCTGCTAAGTGACAATGCTAGAAGCTAACTGAAATCTGACACAAAATTAGATGTGTTTTTTTACTACTACTACTTCCTCTTATTAGTATAATTGACTATAATTAGTCAATTATAAAATTGGAAGAGTTGGACAAAAAGATTTCAGGGCAAACATTCCAAAATTCTGGTACCAATAATAACCTTTCTTTTAATATTATAAAGCATTTTATTGTTTTCAAAAAGTTATACATGCACATAACAAATAATTAAAACAGCATAAAAGAACTGTGATAAGGAAAAGTAAGGTTCCCTCAAACCTATTCCTCAATCTACCAAGCTCCCCACACCTTAATAAAAAAAAAAAAAATCTATACATATACCACTGCGTCATGTTTTTTTTTTTTAACATTAATATATACTGGGTATTATTACATCTTAACATAAACATCTTCCTTATTCATTTTTAGAACCACTACAATGATATACTTTAATTTACTTAACCAGTTTTCTATTGATAAACTTTTATGATTTTCCTTTTCATTTTGATAGTCTAATAACCCAGTAATGAGTATTTTTTGCATATATCATTACATACATAGAGAAGGTATAATAACAGAATTATTTCCAATTTTATACATAATAGACATTACCAAAAAGAAACAGCTTTGAGTTAAATGTATTGATAGAAATCTATACTTAAAAAATTCAATGATTCCAGCTTTGTCGGAATAACTGTCACTATCACTATACATGGCTTCCTGCTAGAAATAACTAGAAAACTAGACAAAATAGGTAGAAATTTATGCACTCTAGAAATTTTCCTTCTCTCAAGAGAAACAAAGTAAGCTCAACGATTATCTCAGCTTCCTGTTGTGGACATGTTCTGAACAACTGCACAGAAAAGGGGAACCCTAAAAGAAGATGGCTATTTGTTAAGTTAGGAGACAGATAAAACCTTTGGGGAGGCCTAGGCAACTGGAATTTGTGAAGCAGTACAGGAGTAGAAGAAGCACTCCAGAAATATTAGTAGGGCTCACTTTGAGTCAAAGTATCAATTCTTATATGATACTGTGAAATCCCACAAGACAGGCAAAAACCTACCAAGAAGTTTTAAGCTGAGTAACTGTCAGATTTTACACAGAGCTGCAAGAAGACAGAGTTCTAATCAGCCACAGGAGACACACAGAAACATATAAAGGATATAAAAAGATATACCATGTAAACTCTAATCATAAGAATGCTGGTGTGGCTATATTAATATCTGACAAAGCAGGCAAGAATATTATCAAGGTAAGGCAAGGAATATTACCATGGGTAAAAAGGGAAATGTCATTATCAAAGATAGGATTTTTTAAAAATCTACAATAGTTTATTTTAAAGACTTCACATTTACAAGTACTTGTGATAACTTCTTTGGGATAAACTACCAAAATATGTGCACAATCTATATTCTGCCAACTACAAAATACTGACTGAATAAGTAACAAATAATGAGTTTATCACATTCATGCATTGGAAGTCTCAGTATTCTTAAGATACCAATTCTCCTAAAATGGTTCCTAGATTCAATACAATCCCAAACAAATATATCAGCAAGCGTTTTTGTAAAAATATTTAAAAACTGGCTTCTAAAATGCATATAAAAATGTAAAGGATCCAGAATAGCCAAAAAATTTTTGAAGAAAAACAAAGTTGAAGGACTTAATGATTTCAAGACTTTGCATAAAGTCACAATAATCAATACAGTGTGGTAATATCATTAGGGCAGATATGTGGAACAAAAAAAAAAGAATCCAGAAATCAGCCTAGTTTGATTATGTAGCTGAAGCCAATATCGCTACTGCTGGTCAGAGTGGACACTGCAATCATCTTCACCAAGCACTCAAACAATGGACTATTTCTGTCTTGTTTTAATTCTTAGGAAAAAAGGAAAGAGAACGAAAGCCAATATGGTAAAATGTTATGGCAAGATCTGACAAATGTGAGTAGGAAACACAAGGTATTCCTTGTATATATTCAGCAATATTTTCTATATTCTCGAACTACGGCACAACCATTTTTTAAGAAAGAAAACTAAATCCACATAGGTCACACCTATAGTAGCCAAATCTCTTGTTAAGTTTTTTTTTACTCACAGAAGTATTTAATAAGTGAAAACACATTAAAAAACACATAACCTATAACTCATCCTTTAAAACCAGAACAGCCAAGTGAAAATTCAGCACAGAATTTTTACTTTAAAAAGGTTTAAAAATAGGTAATAAATTTATACACATATATACATATATGTGTGTATATATACATATACACATGTGTATATTTAAACCTTATATTTAAACGTGTGTATTTTTAAACCTTAAAAGTAAATAATAAATTTATATACATATATACACTTTTAAACCTTTTAAAGGTTTAAAAAAAATAAGTAATAAGTTTATATACATACACACACACACATATATATATATATGGCTAGGGAAAGACACAGAACACATTGGGAATTCAACAACTATGTTTTTTCTTCTTTCTAGAGATGTGACATCATGTTTTCTGGTCAGTAATGTTCTTTCAAACACTACTGAATCAAAGCAAACTTATACTGAACTGGTTAAACCTGTAACAGGAAGAAGGAACTCCTTACCTCAACAGAAAACCTAATGAACCGATTTATACAGAAAGGGTTTTAGCAAACCTACACAAACACTTAACATGCTATAAGAAAAGGATACTTTTTAACTTACCTCCAGCGTAAGTATACATTTATTGGTGTTCACTAAAATAGAAACACCAAGGCAGAAAGCATTTTTGCTTTCATAGTACTAATAACTAAAAAGCACACAGCACATATTAATTTGATCTTTAAATGGGTAATCATGGAAGTTCCAAGATTACATCCACTACGTTAGCCTGAGTATTCATCTATAAAAATATTTTTTTCAAAAATGCTTAAAAGGAGTTCAAGAAACAGTGGAACTACATCAGGACCAGCAGAAGATAGTGATACAAGGATTGCAAATATAAGACTAGAAATTGATATTCACATGTAGCTTTTGGGTAAAGGACACCTCTCTCAGTTGATTCCTATAGCCAAGACTAACTGTTACAGTAGGAGCTTCAGAAACTTCAGGATGATCAGCTGGCTTAACATCCTGGATAAATACTCCCAGTCAAAAACCCCAATGAGGCTGCAGGACTGAAATTTTGATGCATATGAAAACCTGAGTGTACAAAATGCCTGTTGGGACATGCAAAGCCTGTTGGGCCAAAGAGGGTTGGTGATGGTGAGTTTTTCAAACACCCAACACACCAACATGTATGCTAGGGAAGAAGCCCCCAGGTGGAATGCTGGCCTTGGGATTGCTCTAGAAAAGCCTGACTCATGGGAGTACAGCAATTCCCGACCCAAAAGGCCCTGAGAAAGGTGTCTACTATGGGGAGGAGTACCAGGGTCACTGAATACAAGAAGGTATTTCAAGAGAAACAGGTCCCAGGAGGGTCAGGTAATTTTCTTTTCAACCCAACATTAATGAACAGTTGCAAAACAGAGTCACTCTTTCCAAGATGTATTCTTCTGTCACATTAGCTTTAGCCTCCCCCAGTCTAATGGGTTAGCACGCCCAAAAAGATCTCACCGCCCAGAGGTGGGCCCTACAGCCTCAGATCAGTCTGGGAAGCTGATGAAGATGAGTTGCACAACTATGTCACCACTAAAGTGCTGCTTAAACCCAGTCCCCAGCCTTCTTTTTCTGCTCCATAGCCCAGAAACACTTCTTTAAAAGCCAGGAAAGTTGTAAACATGAACAGCATGTCCAATATGTCACCAGCTACTTTCTCTTTACAGTGCTGTAACGATGCTGTGCAAGTCACCATGTTAAATCCAGGAATGTGCTCTAGCAGATGTTCTTCATTATACTTTTCTACCAAAGAAATATATTCATTACAAATAGGTGTGTAGGTACGTTTATTATCTCCCATGTCTTCAAACTCTCCTGGGAGTGCTTGTCCATACAAATTTTCTTTAATAAATGGAACTCTTCATCCATGATAATAAAATCCAACCACAGCATCAAATTCTGTATCAGAGGTAGAAGAGAAGGACAGTGCAAAGCTCTCTTCCTCTAGGGTGTCCATCACTATCTCCCCTATGCCATCCACCTGTGGGGTGAGTGGGCCTGTTAGCTCCCTACCGCAAATGCGGCCTGGGCCAAAGCCGCACTCGGCTCTACAGAGCCCCAACTGGCAAAAGGGAGGCCTCATCCCTGAGCCCACCACCAGCTCACAGCCCAGCTAGGTAGCTCCTGGGCAGGAGGCCCTGGCCTCAGGCTTCCAGGCTGTGGCCATATACCAGCTGGGCCCCCGTGCCCCTCTTAAGTTTATTTCAGTAAAAATTCAGAAGGTCTATAGTACAGTCATTATAATATTAAGCTCTTCTCAAAATAAAACCCCTTTCATCTCCCCCTCTGAGACGAATCATGACAGACTATGAACTCTGAGAAACAAACTGAGGGGAAACAAACTAGAGGGGAGGGGGGTGGGGGGATGGGTTAGCCTGGTGATGGGTATTAAAGAGGGAATGGACTGAATGGGGCACTGGGTGTTACACGCAAACAATGAATCATGGAACACTACATCAAAAACTACTGAAGTACTGTGTGGTGACTAACATAACATTAAAAAAAAAAAACCACTTTCAGAACAGAAAATTAGAGAAGAACACTAATCACAGCAAAATATGAATCAAGTACTCCAGTGATAGGTTCTTACAGTCTTTATCTTACAAATACAGAAAGCTGAATCAAGCAGAATCAGAAGAATATAAAAATAAAGAATAATCAGAGTAACATCAAAATCAAAGAGAAATTAGGATCGATACTTACGATAAAAGAAAGGGACAAACTCCACTGTGAGAGAAGCTGGTTTATATTTCTGTCTGCTCTTTTCCACAGTACTAAGGATTCGTCTATCATTAAAAAGAAGTTAATACCAAATTATAACAATGGTGAGTAGAGATGGCATAATTACAGAAACAACTATAAATTTATTACTTTTTATTTATATATTGAACAATACATCTGTAAGATTGATATAATCTTGAAAAGGAAGTTTAGCCTATAATTTAAATGCTCAACAATCAAAGGATTTCTTCTTTTGAATTAAGAAAAAAAAAATTAAATGCTTAATGGTGAAACACAGCAGCCAGGTTAAGTCTCCAAAGAACTAGAAATAGAAAAAAGGAACTAGGCATTTAAAATTTCCAGTCTGTAAGATTATTTGTTCAACAGTACTGCTAATTTGACACCTAAGGCTGTAGCTTATTACTACCGGGCAAATGAAATTCATCAGAAATCAGGCCACTCTTTGCCACTTTCTGAAATTTTATCTGGACACAAAGTATCCATTCCACTGCCTTCTTCCATTTTAAATTAATGTAGATCCAGTATGCGCTGGGATTTTTTTTTTTTTTAAGGATTTTATTTTTTATTTGACAGAAAAAGAGAGCAAGCGAGCACAAGTTGGGAGAGAAGGGCAGAGGGAGAGGGAGAAGCAGGGTCCCAAACAGGAAGCATGGTGCGGGGCTCAATCCCAGCACCCTGGGATCATGACCTGGGCTGAATGCAGATGCTTAACTGACTGAGCCACCCAGGTGCCCAGGGAATTATTTTTGTTTTTAATGACAATTCCAGTAGTTTTGATGGCTGTAATATTTCTACAGACTTTGGCAAGGCCAACACATATAGCATGTGCTTTTACCAAGATCATTTCAGTTCAACACAAAATGAGTCTCTTAAATGGGCATGGTAGTGTGGGGATTGGGGAATAAAAGCTATTGTTAAAATGATATATCTGACCAGTTGACTGCAGAAAATTAAACAAAAAACAAAGAACTCAGACACTTTTTTTGTGCCCTGGAAAAACTCCTAACATTGTTAGATAAAGCCAGCAAAAAAGGAAAATATTTGAAAAACAGCCACAAAGAAATTCTATATGTCTAAATATGATCTACTGATGAAGCAACAGATTAAGAGGAGCTCTTTTTAACAACCATAATTGAGATACTAAAATTATTTTCCTTATATTTAAAGCTAGAAAGTCAATTGGCCACAGATTAAGTCAAGTAAGATAGACACAGCTGCTCAGTAATGACAGAATAAAAGGTTCTAAGATCCAGATCTAATAGCCAGATTCACTAGAAATTGTATTAGACACGATTTGCTACTAAATGCTTTCCAAATCTGTGTCTATTTCTTTTTTTTTTTTAATTTTATTTATTTATGTGACAGAGAGAGTGTGTGCACACAAGCATGGGGAGCTGCAGGCAAGGGAAAAGCTGGCTCCCCACTGAGTGGAGAGCGTGATGCGGAACTCGATCCCAGGACCCTGGGACCATGACCTGAGCCAAAGGCATATGCTTAACCAACTGAGCCACCCAGGCGCCCCCAAATCTGTGTCTATTTCTATTGTGGAGAAGGCAGAAGAATTACCATATTGTGTATTTATTTTATTTTATTTTTTTTAAAGATTTTATTTATTTATTTGACAGAGACACAGCGAGAGAGGGAACACAAGCAGGGGGAGTGGGAGAGGGAGAAGCAGGCTTCCCGCTGAGCAGGGAGCCTGATGCGGGGCTTGATCCCAGGACCTTGGGATCATGACCTGAGCTGAAGGCAGACGCTTAATGACTGAGCCACCCAGGCGCCCCTTGTGTATTTATTTTAAATTCAAACATAATATCCTAGAATATTATTGGATCTATTTAATTAAGACCGGTATTGAGATTTTTTTATGCCTTTAAGAGAATACAAATATTACTGGAGTTTCAAATTAAAAATTCACTGACGCCTTTAAAAGAATTCAGTAATGTCGTAGAAAAATTAATTTTAAAAGGACAATTTAGCTTTCAGTTAGGTTTTTCCATGAGATTATTTGCATTGTTTATATTTGGCACATTTATTATAAGTTATAGTATGAATCAACAGATTTGATATATCCTATCCAAATATCCTGTGCTACAAACAATAAGCATTCTCACTTTAGTAACATAGTGAAAATGTACTCCTGCAATTTGTGAATAATGACTTATTCTAAAGGCCATGTATTAGATGTAATAACATATGAACATAAATAATTCCCCATTATGGGGCACCTGGGTGGCTCAGTCAGTTAAGCATCTGCCTCTGGCCCAGGTCATGATCCTGGGGTCCTGGGATCAAGCCCCAAGTGAGGCTCCCTGCTAAGCAGGGAGCCTGCTTCTCCCTTTCCCTCTGCCGAAAAAATGCCTGGGTGCCTGGGTGGCTCAGTCGGTAAAGCATCTGCCTTCGGCTCAGGTCATGATCCCAGGGTCCTGAGATCAAGTCCTACATCAGGTTCTCTGGTTCAGTAAGGGGTCTGCTCCCTCTCCCTGCTGTGTTCTCTCTCTCTCTCACTCACTCTCTCTAATAAATAAAATCTTAATGAAATAAAAAAATTTTAAAAATGATCACTATTGTTGTAGTAAAATTTAATATACTAACATGAATAAGAGGGGTGAAAACTATTCTATGTAACACAAACATTAAAACATAAGTAGTTTACACTACACATCTGCAATAGGGTAAGACAGAACAGCTAAAAATGAAGTTAGTGTTGTACCATTTTTAAATCACAGCATACTTCCTTGTTGCATTATTATCTGATATTTGGGTCAAGCATGTGGCACCACCTAGCAGAGGCTAATACATACCCATACCAACTTCTGAGGGCTGTAAAATGTGTTTGCATCTAGTTTTCTAAGTTCATGTCCCTTGGTCAATTATTTTGTGCTTCTTTTTTGTGCTGCCATCATGCCTAGGACATAACTATTTCTCTTAAACTTTTAATCTGGAAATAAAGTCAAGCTCTTGCAAAAGTTGCAAGAATAAAAATTGTATAAAGAACTTCAAATATATCTTACCCAGGTTCATTGTTAAAATTTTATCCCAAACACTTTATCATTTGTTCACTCTCTCCCCATATTATACAGTGCACACATATTTATATATACATGCATTCTCACATATAACATTTTCCAGAACATCTAAAGGGAAATTATGTATATTCTGGCACATTACTTCAAAATACTTTAGTGAATACCTGCTAAGAATAGGGATATGGTCTTACACAATAACAGCAAAATTATAAATTTTAATACATTTAACACCAATATAAAACATTTATCTACCATATATAATCCCATTTTGTTAACTGACCCATTAGTATCCTTTACAGCATTTTCTCCCCCTCTCAGTACAGCTCCCTGTCCAGATATTACATTTAGCTGTCATATCTCTCTTCCCTCTCTCAACCTGAAACATTTCTACAGCCTTTATGATATTCTTAAAGAATGTTGTCCCACACTCTTTCCTTTTATTCATTAAAATAGTCTTCATTTTTGGTTTGCTTGATGTTTCCATACAACGAGATTTAGATTATGCATTCTTGGTAGAATACTATAAAAGCAATGATGTGTCCTTCTTAGAGCATCATAGCTGGAGGCAAAGATGTCCATCTGCTTCTCACTGATGCTAATTTTGATCATCTAGTCAATGTACTATTCAGTACTATACAAAATAATTACTAATTTTTCCTTTGCAATGAATAAATAATCTGTGGGCAAACATTTTAAAACCAAGCAAAAAATAGGCTCTTTATCAAAATTTTCCCTAGATTTAGCCATCCTGTTCCATATCTTTCCTATAATTTCTGTAAAATGCTGATTTTTCTTCCAACACTCCTTCTACATTTACTAATTGGCACTTGGACTTCTATTATAAGCAAGGGTCCTCTCTTTCCCTTTATCTATCTATCCATCCATCCAACCATCCATCTATCCATCCACCCACCTATCTATCTATCATCTATCACGGGTATGGACTCATTAATTCCTTTTTTTCCCCCATGGTTTATAATTCTATTGTTTTTTAAAGTAAACTACACTCAGTGTGGAGCACAAACTCAGGACCCCGAGATCAAGAGTCATATGCTCTACTGACTGAGGCACCCAGGTGGCCCAGTTTATAATTCTTTATGGCAATTAATTATTTAATTATTTTCATATATACATTGTCCCAGATTTGGCCAGAAGGAGCCCCAGGGCATAACTTAGTCTAAATTGTTTTTCTCTTTGGGCAGGTAATGAGTCCTACTGTACTTACACTGGGCACAAAGTAGAAACTCAATAAATATATTTTTATTTTTTTTAAAGATTTTATTTATTTATTTGAGAGAAAGAATGAGAGAGAGAGAGAGAGAGAGAGCATGAGAGGGGGTTGGGTCAGAGGGAGAAGCAGACTCCCTGCCGAGCAGGGAGCCCGAAGTGGGACTCGATCCTGGGACTCCAGGATCATGACCTGAGCCGAAGGCAGTCGCTTAACCAACTGAGCCACGCAGGCACCCCAATAAATATATTTTTAAATAAATGCTTGAATGATAAGGCCTTTTCAGGAAAGAATTCTCTCCCTACATCTATTTTAGTTCCACTTGAGAAAATCTTTCTAAATACGTAAGATGCTATAAACAGAATTAAAACTGAGCTAATAGATTAATCAAATCTATTCATTATATCAAATTAAATATGGAGATATGAAAAAATCCATATATTTCATCAAATAAGAAATATACTTTTATTTTTTTTTTAAAGATGTGTTTATTTGAGAGAGCAACAGCATGCGAGCAGGGGGAAGGAGAGAGAGAATCCTCAAGCAGACCCCACCACAGACTGAGCACAGAGCCCAACGCAGGGATCGATCCCAGCTCAGATCAAGACCTGAGCTGAAACCCAGAGTTGGACACTTAACCAACTGAGCCACCCAGGCGCCCCAGGAAATATACTTTTAAATGGCTCTGTATTTGGAATGATGCTAACTTACATTTGTTCCGTTTTAGTTGTTTGGGTAAGCAACAAACACAAATAGGATGTAAGAAAATATATACATTCCATGTTTTCACTTAACTTCAGAATTAGATTAATGTATAAGGTATAAGTTATTGCTAACGCTCTCTTGTATAGGTCTCCCATGAGCTATAGATGTTTCCTAATTCCATGATTTATTTGTAGTATGTTTCATTTCCCTATCAAAGTCAAAGAAACCAAGTCTGAACCCTTGCTTTACTGTTTACCTCTGAAGCAGTTCCTACTATTACCAGCAAAATTGTTATGCCTATTAAAGATAATAGGAGAGCTTCCAGCATAATTCCTGGCATGTATATTACACACACTCATGAAATGCCACCACCCATGCTCTACTCTTTGTTCCTCTTCCTGCTGCCACTTTATATATGTAGAATTCTCTTTCTATACTATAGCATTTAAATATCTTCTTGTTTTTGGTTCTCAAAAGTTGTTTTTTGTTTTCATTTACAAATTTTATTGGTTTTAATTAGTTGTCAGATCTACTTTTTTATATCTTCTCTCATTCCCCCAACTTTAAATTCATTTTGTTCTTATTAAGATTCCTTTAAAACCTCTCCTCTGTCATTTTCAGACTGATCTCATGTGTCTCTTTCTGTATATGTCTTGCTGTCTATAAAGAAAAACTATTTGTCATTGTTTCAAAACCTAAAATGTTATCTTAGATTTGCCATTACTGACAGATCTGAGGTGGAGGATGGGGAAGTAGCAAGAGTGAAAGGAAGGGATATAATTTCCTCAAGAAATCTCTAGCATCAGTGTCAAAAGAGAACACTGGCTTCCACCAAGGGAGCCATGAAGGAGCAGCAGCGATGGCTCTCCACTACCCTATGGCCATGGGCCTCAACAAGGGCCACAAGGTGACAAAGAATGTGAGCAAAGGTCATGCGCGGCAGGATCCAAGAGGTGCAGGGGCTTCACCCCATATGAGCAGTATGCCTTGGAGCTGCTCAAGGTCTCCAAGGACAAGGGTGCCCTCAAGTTCATCAAGAAGGATGTGGAAACACACCTCCATGCCAAAAGGAAAGAGGAGTTAAGCAATGTCCTGGCAGCAATGAGGAAAGCAGCAGCCAAGAAGGAACCCCTCCCCTCTGTATATTTTAAGCCTTTTTGGGGGAAAAAAAATAGAACATTGATTATTTGAGAACCAAAGTGATAAATGAGTAGAAAGGCTACAAATGGAACAGTTATGTGCCTCTTTCAATCTTCAGAGTCATGAGTAGTGCTCAGGCAGAGGCAAAAGGTAGTGACAGTGCAGTCTGCCAATTATTTCCATGTCTACCCCTTCTAGTCAAAGTAGAACTTCTTGGTTTCACTGTGGTAGAGGGGGATGTGGGACTAATTCTGACCAACGAATTCTGAATGAAAATAAGATGTGTCATGACCAGATGAGAGCATTAAATTGCTAATGTGAGACATTTCAGAGCTTTCTTTTCTCTCAGGTGGTAACTAGCAAAGCCTTAGATGCCTGCTCCTCTGTCAGCTTAGGATCTTGAGTGACTGTCATGACTGAGGACTTCCTGCCAACGATGGCAGACAGCATGAACAAGAAATAAACCTTTGTTATTCTAACCCCTTGTTTGTTATTGCAACATCATCTGTCTTATCCTGACTGATAAGCCATCTTTGCCAAGGAAAATTCAATGTACTTTCTCTCTGGGAAAAGAGACATATTAAAGCTCAATTGAAAAGGAAGTATTCTGGGCGCCTGGGTGGCTCAGTTGTTAAGCGTCTGCCTTCGGTTCGGGTCATGGTCCCAGTGTCCTGGGATCAAGCCCCACATCGGGCTCCCTGCTCGGCGGGGAGTCTGCCTCTCCCTCTCCCGCTCCCTCTGCTTGTGTTCACTGTCTCACTGTGTCTCCCTCTGTCAAATAAATAAATAAAATCTTTAAAAAAAAAAAAAAGAAAAGGAAGTATTCAATACTAAGTAAACTGTAAAAGAACTGTTTACTTGACACAAATTTCAGAGTCATGAATTCCCAACAATGTAAGTGCACTGTAAGCAAAAGCTAGGTACTGCTAAGGTTGGTATTTTGATATAATAAATACAAACTATTTTTATCTATTCTTTAAAGCAGGACTCCTGCCAGACAGTACCTTTTAACCCTAGTTCAAGTCGCAATATTTCTTTGAAAAACAATATTGTTCCTGTGGTGGGAAAGGGGAGAAAAGGAAGCATTCAGAAGGTCATTAGTTCCTTTCCATTAATGAACAGTCAAGAAAATTATTAGGGCAATGTGATGGTTAATTTAATGTGTCAACTTGGGAGGGTGTTTTTGGATGAGATTAACATTTAAATTGGTGAAATATGGAAAAGGAGATTACCCTATACAAAATGCCTCAATGAATCAGTGGAAAGACTGAGTAGAACAAAAAAATTGGTCTCTCTAAGCAAGGGGGAGTTCTCCAGCAGACTGTCTTTGGACTTCATCTGCATCATCAGTTCTGGGTCTCCAGCCTGACTACATTTGGACTAGAACTAGAACATTGGCTTTCTATCTGCCAGCTTTCAGACTGTAACTGTACTTTGGCTTTCCTGGGTCATAAGCCTGACAGCCCACATTTGGACTTGTCCACCTCTAAAATCACATGAGGCAACTGCTTATAATAAAGCTTGTTCTATGCATGTGCATACACGCACGCGCGTGCGCGCGCACGCACACACACACACACACACACACACACACACAAACCCCTTACTGGTTCTGTTTCTATGGAGAAACCTTCTCTCAACGTATAAAGGAAAGCCAGTGTATAAATAAGTAGACAGGATTGTTGTATTTAATAACTAGAGTACTTGTTCCTATTATACCTACTTTTTACTTCTTACTATTACTATTGGATTTGTTATTTCAATAAAATATCACTACACAGAACATACAAAGTATTACCATATAGTCTACATAAATGTTCTCTCAGTTAATCAATTCTTCACCATCATCTAATGGTGGCTACTCAAAGTGAGGGTATAAGATCCTAAAAAACCTGAAAAGCCTATAAAGATCAAACATTTTAGCAGTGAAAAGTTGCAGGAAGTGGCGATGGTATAAATAGGTTGGGTTAAATTAAAAATGAAAATGGAAAAATCTTGAAATTGAAAATATAGCAGATTTGGGAGACCTAAACAAGCAATCTGACTGTAGTTCATGATACAACTCTTCCTATTCTGTGCCCACAGGTAATAAAGATATGAGTTCAAAACTCTTCTCTGTGAGCCCTGAACTGGTAATTATACTACTGTCACTAAACTGCAAACCCATCATCCTATATTCTATCTGCTTTGTCATGCTGTGACAAGCACTCTGCAAACTATACTTCTCTTTTTCCAGGTACTCCACTGTTGGGTTCACCAATAGTGCATACTAAATGGAGCCTGGAAGGCTAAGGGTAAAAAAGAAAGTGATTCCTTATTTTTTTACCAGCCAACAGTTCTTAACTGTAGCATTCACAGCTGGTCCTTTGTCTTCAGGTTATTTTTGGCAATTCCAGCACCAGCCTATGCTCCTGGCTGCTCAGTGATACCTGCACAGCTAAGCAATGCTCTTTCATCAGAGGTCTGAGACCCAGCTGCAGGACCTCTTCTCTGATAACTCCAGTCTCTTCCTTTTGTCCCATACCCCGAAGGAAGTAGCTGCTTCCTGAAGTCACTATCTCTGTATTACATCAGTATCCCTACTTGCTTTTTGAGTTCTCTACTCTAATACCTATTTAACAATTTCCTTCAATTATATCTTTTTAAAATACCTGGTATGATTACCGTTTTCTTGACCAGACCCTGGCTGACACAAGCTCCACAATTAAAAGCAGACAAAATATTGTTAAAATCATTTTCATCCTATGAAATGAGCTTAAAAAAGAGAACTTTCCTTGAAATATATGTACACTCCACTTGATGTTACCGTGCTTTGAAATTTTCCTATCAGATTATTAGCATTACAAAATAAAAGTTTACAGTAAATTTATTATCTGGAAGTGGCAATTTTCACTAATTCATTACTTCCAACAGAGACAGACAGGGGTCAGAGAAAAAGATAGGGGTCTTACACACATCCTACATATTTCTTTCACAGAGAATAAGACCTGCATTGAAGAATTACATATATTTATGACATTCAGGTTTTAAATGAACATTATAAGGTATATAAGACATACCCTGAAATTCTATGCCTCCAATTCCGATATGGATCATATAAACTTTCACAAAACGCCAATGCATGGATCACAAATTCTTCAATAGATGTCTGATCTGCCAATTCCTTCTCTTTTTTTTTGCTTTTTAACTGAAAGTAAAGTTAAACAGAAAATTATATTTAGTTAAAAATATTAAACTGCATAACATATCTACATAATTAAAAGACAACATGTTTCATTAATTATCTAATAAATCATTTTTATTCAAATAAGCCTATGTTCCAATTGCATCTAAAGGGTCAGTTATTCATATGGACTGAATATAATCCTTCAATTTTTAATATGGCCTAGGAAGAGTTTTGAATGGATAGCAAAAAAAAATGTTTTCAATAAGATGGATATTTGATGATAAATAATATGTAATATATATAAATTGACAAAGTATGTCACTGTAAAAAGCCATTTATAAAACACTTTAATTTTTAACTAAAATAAAATATATTAATAATTTCTTTTCTATTTTTAGATAATACGTTTAAGATGTCTGAACTATATAGTACCTAATGGAAATTTTAATTCATTTCTCGATTATTACGTCCTCTAAAAACATTTAACTTTACTATAATATTTAAAAAACTTAGTTACTCTCAGTAAAGCAACAAAAGGAATATATTAATTCACCTACTTGCTGAATATAGAGTGTTGTCATAGTGATGACATGATTAATATATGAGCAAGTCCCAATTTCTTCCACATTAGATAGATTTCTGTGAGGAAAAAAAGAATATTTATTACATATGAATAGTGACAAAAATGTATGCTCATTTATTCAGGTCGAATTTTGAAAATACATGTTAGCAAAGGAAATATAAATGACATTTATTAAAACTTAAAATCACTATGGTTACATAACTGTTTTTCCACTAAGAATGTGAAATACACCTCAAACCACCATTTAGCTACTCTAAACAATGTTTAAGAAGTACATGCTGGTTAGCAATTATTTATTATAGAAAAAGTGAAAAATATCACAAAGTAGAAACAAAAGAGAAACAAAAATCAGAAATATTCTTATAACCAACCATTCTCAACTATTTACATTTTGGATTATTTCTTTTCAGGTTTGTTTTTATTTTCATATGCAGATTCTTAGTTTGGTTTTTGTACATACTGTTGCCATTAAAACACATAGTTTTAGAGTTTTCACTTTGCTCTTTGAAATTACAGTCCCCTTATCTAGACGTGTTTCTCAACTATATTGAAAGGCCTTGATATAAAAGCCAGCACCTGTACATTCTCCGTGAGGGCATAGTATATGTGTTGTTTAAAGCAGTGAGTGGGTCAATAAGTGGTGTTTAATTAAAATATGGTCCTCATTTTTATCCCATTTTTATAAGACAAGACGGGACACATAATGCTAACATTTTCTGTATCTAATATCACCTTTTTCTTAGCATAATAAAACAGTCTATTAATTTTCTCTTCTGAGACGCTGTGACACTGAAAAAAACTATCTAAAATACAGCAGATGCCCATTTGCAACGACATGAATGGAACTAGACAGTGTTAAGCTAAGCGAAATAAGCCAATCAGAGAAAGACAATTAACAAATGATCTCACTCATATGTGGAATTTAAGAAACAAAACAGAGGATCATAGGGGAAGGGAGGGAAAAACAAGACAAAATCAGAGAGGGAGACAAACCATAAGAGACTCTTAATTAGAGGAAACAAGCTGAGGGTTGCTGGAGGGGATGGGGTGGGAGATGGCGTAACTGGGTGATGGACAAATTTTTATATAAAACGAAACTGCTATACAACATAAAACCTATTAGAAATTTTTTAAGGAATTTTTTTAAAAAGTGAGGTCTCTGGAAATAGAAACACATTCTGTGATTGGCAGCTATTAAACATTAAATTTAAAATAAAATAAACATTAAATTAATCATCAGAGATTATCTCCTAGTAAAAAAAAAAAATTCAACCAAAAGATGTGTTGGAACATTCCAGTGCTTGCCTATAATGATCAAGAGCTAGGGGCTCCTGGGTGGCTCAGTTAGTTGGGCTTCCAACTCTTGATTTCAGCTCAGGTCGTGGTCTCGAGATCATGAGATCAAGCCCTGTGTCAGGCTCTGTGCTCAGCTTGGAGTCTGCTTGGGATTCTCTTTCTCTCTCTCCCTCTACCCCTCCCCGCAATTGTATGTACACACCCATGCACTCTCTTTCTCTGTTTCTAAGATAAATAAATAAATTTTAAAAACAGTTAAACATACTGGATTTATATTTTTTAAGATTTTATTTATTTGAGCGAGAGAGCGAGAGCATGAGTGGTGGGAGGGGCAGAGGGAGCAGGGAAAGCAGACTCCCCACTGAGCAGGGAGCCCGATGTGGGACTCAATCCCAGGACCCTGAGATCACGACCTGAGCCGAAGGCAGACGCTTAACCGACTGAGCTACCCAGGAGCCCCTAAACATAACTAGATTTAAAACAGTTATTTATCTATAGGATTTCTGATTTCTGTAAAACTGTACTAAGTAGTTAACAGGACAAAATATAACAGATCAACAGACCAACTCATGTTTTATTGCATAAATAAACCCTTTTTCCCTCAACCCTTTAATTCTTGTATTATTTTTCTGAATTTTAAGGATGATTAAGAGCACAAAATCAAAAAAATATCTACAGTTTGGAAGAGCCTAAATTAGGGGAGAAACATTTTAGCAATTATTGCTCAATCTTTCCATGATTCCTGCAATCAAATACAATGAGCAATTAAGTGAAAGGTAAATAAATGCACAGTAAATTAAGTCCCTGTTTGTCTATTAATTAATTCTAAAATATTTATAGAACAAATAGTATATATTATAGGAAATGGCTTCCAAAAAGAAGATAGACTTTAAAGAGGCATAAAATGCCCCTAACCCAATGGTTCTTAAATTTGTATATGCAGGTTAACGTGAATTCATGAAGAATTAGAATGCCTGAGCTCTTTGGAGTCAGAATTTTCATAAGGCTCAAGCTCTGTATTCCTATTAAGCTTCCCAGTTAATACTTATGCACACCAAAATTTAAGTACCACAGACCTAATCATCTATAAATCTGGAAATATAAGCTGTAGAATAATTATACTTTCTTTGGCAAAATTATAAAATGAAAGATTAGAAAAATATATTTCACAAATGATAATGCACAGTAGTAAAAATGTATATGTGTTTACAGGTGAGGACCACACAGAAAATCCTGGTACAACAAATTCTTGGTTAGGTAAAAACTTCAGTTACTGTCTTTATAGTAACTTTTTTTTTTTTAAATCTTGGCTGAATCTCTCTGTAACTAAGTCTGGTAACTAAAAGGCTTTCCAGTAGGGGTGCCTGGCTGGCTCAGTCGGTGGAGCATGAGACTCTTACCTCAGAGACATGAGTTCAAGCCCGACATTGAGCATCGGGCCTACTTTAAATAAAGAAGTAAAACATTAAATAAATAAATAAGAAGCTTTCCAATATAATAAATCACAAGGCTTTCATAAAAGGTGCACTCAAGGGGCGCCTGAGTGGCTAAGTCAGTTAAACGTCTGCCTTTGGCTTAGGTCAGGATCTCAGGGTCCTGGGATCGAGTCCTGAGTCGGGCTCTGCCGTCAGCAGGGAGTTTGCTTCTCCCTCCCCCTCTGCCCTTCCCCCTGCTCGTGCTCCCTCTCTTTCTCTCCCTCTCTCAAATAAAAATAATAAACTCTTTAAAAAAAAAAGGTGCACTCAATCTTTAAAGCTCCATATGAACAACAAACACCATTAATAATAAATAAATGCATTGTTATTTTGATAATTTTTTAAAACAGATAACTAGTTTATTTGCTGTACCAGATACCTGCAAAGAATAATGAAGAACTTGACAAGCAAAACTGACAAAGCTTGCTGTTGTTCCTCTAACCCATCTGCCATTTTCTGAACACACTGTAGTAGCTGGATCCTTAGAACCTGCAGAATATTATCAGGAAGCAGAGATATTCCTGGAGGCACATCATCTACCCTGTAAGGGGGAAAAATAAGAAGGGTGATTAAGTATGAAGAAAATCTCTGGCACTTTAAAGGAACTGCATTTTCACCTCAAATCCTAAAGAAACTCTTTTATTCCAGATGCTCTGTGCCTTCTCTGCAAGGCACCACCAGATGATCACTATGACACTTTAGAAGATTAGTGTTAACGCGGTAGTTAGTCTTATTCAGAAGAGGCTTACTGAAAAGAGGGGAGAGTTAGAGAATCTATTTAATATCTTCAATTGTGCTACTTTCAAAGAAAACATTCAGAATTAGTTCACCTGCTACTTAGAAATAAAACGTGTGTGGGCGCCTGGGTGGCTCAGTTGGTTAAGCGACTGCCTTCAGCTCAGGTTATGATCCTGAAGTCCCAGGATCGAGTCCCGCATTAGGCTCCCCGCTCAGCGGGGAGTCTGCTTCTCCCTCTGACCCTCTTCCTTCTCGCGCTCTCATTCTCTCTCTCTCAAATAAATAAATAAAATCTTTAACAAAAAAAAGAAATAAAACGTGTGTATATATATGCATGTATACCATTTCTAAAAGGAACAATTAACTAGCATATAAAAATGGAGTACCTATAACTAGTTTAATATCTGTCAACTGCTTTACTAAATAAACAATATTCACCTACCTATAGGCTCCCCAAACCATGTGGTCAGAAGAGGGAGATAAGATAACCAGCAAAAGGAAAGGAGAAGGATAAACAGGTAAATGAAGAACCTTAAGCATGAACATTAATAAATTAATACATCAGTATTTTATGACAACCAGTTTCTAGGTAAGAAGACCATCTGGTTCTTCAAAGACAAAAGCCAACATGAGATGTGACTGGCTACTCTCTCTTAGAGAGATCCCCCAGAATCAAAGTGAGAAGATCTGTGTATTAAGTTCCACCTCTGTACCATAAAGTACACCATTTAATGTGTGAAGTGCCCTATTCTATAAAATTGTAGTATCTGCCCTATTTCATAGGGTTCTGAAACCAAAAAGTCAATGTGCATTTTTAACTATGAAATATGTAAAGAACTATAAAAATGTAATATGTTTTAAATATACTATCACTAGGAGCGCCTGGGTAGCTCAGTCTTTGAGCGTCTGCCTTCGACTTGGGTCACGATCCCAGGGTCCTGGGACTGAGCCCCGCCATCGGGCTCCCTGCTCCGCGGGAGGCCTGCTTCTCCCTCTCCCACTCCCCCTGCTGTGTTCCCTCTCTCGCTGTGTCTTTCTCTAATAAATAAATAAAATCTTTTAAAAAATAATAATAAATAAACTATCACTAAAGCCTACAAATCTTTTCATGAAGTCACTGAATACTAATTTTCCTATTTCTATTAAGAAAAATACCAAATCACAAAGAAGCACCATGAAGAGCAACTATGATTAAATGACAATCATACTTTAAATCATGTCTTCTTCAGATATTGCTTAATATGAAGATTTACTATTATTTTGACACTGAGTTTAAAGCTATTTCATTCCCTGTAGACAGAAAAATTTCAAGCACATTACCAGTAGTCATATAAATATATATGATAAATATTTTTAGCCTCTTCCAGAACCATCCCACATTATTATAAAATAAACACCTAATTTCAATTATACAGAAATCACAAAGCACATTACCAAGGCTGCGGAATTCTATAACCATGTCACAAAAATACATGCTTCATTTTAGTCCAGGCACCACTTCACTTGTAATTTGGATTCTTTCCTTCTCTTTTATAGATGGTACAGAAAAACTCTCACTTTTATATATACTTTTTTCCCTGCTAAAGAGCTAAAAAGAGGTGATGAGAAAAACCACAGTACCTTCAAAATAATAAAGATTTAAATTTAAATATAACTGATTTTCAAGACTAAGCTAAACTATTCCTACTCACTTTTCCAAAATCATAAGTCAACAAGAAAGAAACATTAGATTTCCCAATATTCAATCCTAATTACTTAAAGGATTAGTTCCCTTTTTCCTTAGTTGTCCCATTCTCTATTTGCATTTTTAAAAATTTTACTAGACAGAAAAAAATTAGCTTACAAAAGAAATCTATTGTTGTACTTATGCTCATTATAAAATTGGGGTTTGATTAGAACATGACTTGTAGATAAAGTTGGGAAAGTTTTGGCCATGTTCCTAATGTGATAAGGATTTAAGAATTTGGAGGCATTTTCCCATCATTAGAACTTTACTGCCCCCAAATTCTAAGCTCCTTTTGCTGAAATTTCCCAATCCCCAGAAATCTGTTTCACTTCTCTGTTTGGCTACTGAAATGTCTACATTAAACAGCTGCCCACTGTTGTCTCCATCTAACACAGGAAGAGAAGTCCAGCTTAAATTCCAAGGCTTTAAATTCTGGTAAAAGCATTCTTTGCTTGCATTAGGAATTCTCTAGCTTAAAAGTTCTATCAAGGGGCGCCTGGGTGGCTCAGATGGTTGAGCGTCTGCCTTCAGCTCAGGTCATGATCCAAGGGTCTTGGGACCGAGCCCCACCCACATCAGGCTCCTGGCTCAGCGGGGAGCCTGCTTCTCCCTCTCCCTCTGCCTCTCCCCCTGCTCATGCTCTCTCTCTCTGTATCTCTGTGTCTCAAATGAATAAATAAAATCTTTAAAAAAATAAATAAATAAAAGTTCTATCAAGTCAGTTTAACTTAAATGAGGATTATCTGTGAGTTTCTTATCTTTAAGGTGAACAGACTAGTTTTATACATCTTGCACATCATATTCACTTGAAAAACTGAAAGTTTTCTATTAGTAAAATCTAAATTCATGGTTTAGTTTTCTGTCAGATATGAAATAAAGTTTTAAATAAACCAGCTAAATCATGAATAAAGCAATGTTCTGACATTTTTCATCTTATTTTAAATATAGTGGCAATAAAAGTCTACATAATGTTTTTAGAAATGACCTCCTAAGAAAGGAGACATGTATAACAAGTGCATCTTACAAACTTTAGAAGACTTCATTTCAATATTCCAAGTATTCAAAGGCCCAAATCCTGACTCCATAAAATCCTTAGGCTCATGATTTAAAGTGAGCTGCAAATTATTAAAATAAAAGCACCTCGAAGCACAGACCACAAGAATACTTTCTTATGAGTAGAAATCAGTAATATGTAATCTTGTTTTGAGTTCAAGATTTAATACTTTTCAACCTTTATAAACCTGTTACAAATCATCTAATGAACTCTGAGACTGTATTTATAAATAATGAAGTACTCGTGCTTTCTGAGCATTAAAGCACATCTTAAGTTCAATGCCTTGGTCCAAAGCTCTAATGATTTCTTCTCTGAGTTATTAAAATTGCCTCTTAACTGCGCTTCTTGCCTTCAGTCTCAACCGTTTCCAGTTTAACCTCCTAATGCTACCACAGGGACTTCTAAAAAACAAACTTCATCATGACACTTTCATGCAGATAAGTCTTTAGTAGAGCCTCGCATCTTCTGTAACAAAAAATCAAAGTCCATTAGCAATGCATGCATGGCATTTCATGATCTGGCTTCTGATTCTCCAGACTCAATTCACCCATGCCCACCCTCTTACCGCCTACCTCCATCCACAAACTGCAAACACTTCCCTCCTTGAAGATTTTTAATTCTCTAGATACTCTTTCTCATCATCAACCACTACCCATTTCTCCCCTTCCATCTCATAGTATCTCTATAAATGGAGTTCCTATTGTGGCTAAAAGTGTCTGCTGTCTCCTCACTTCTCCAGCTTTTTACCCCAGCCTAACCTCTCTTATCCAGGTAACAACTATGACGTCTTCAAGAAGGCTTGAGAAAAAAGTAAAAAACTTTTTCTGGGAAGTGGGCCTGGGAACTGTGAATGTAGAATGGTAGTAGGCAGAGCAATGGGAGATAAGATTTATACTTCTACTTGTACTTTTCCACAAAATTTGAATTTTCCTCCCATTTTATGATTTTTAAATCTAGCTTTGAAAAATCTGAATACTTCACCTCCTCCAAGATGTTTTCTAAGGCCCTACTCTGTAATAAAACCATAATTTTAAGGACAGTGTTTTCAGTGAGTTCTGTGAGTCTAACTAATTACTGAACCAAAGGGAGTCGTGAAAACTTCCAAATTTATATCTGGTTGGTCAGAGATGAGGGAGGGTCCCAAGACTTGTAACTGGTGTCTGAAGTGAGGGCAGTCTTGTTGAGGACTTTGCCCTTAATCTTTTGGATCTGCCACCACCTCCAGGTAGTATTAGTGTTAGAAATGAAGTGAGTTGCAGGACACCCAGTTGCTAATAGTTCACCAAGGTAGTCCTCTCTACTTCAAGAAGTCAAATTTCATATTAGCAGGAAAGCCTGCTGTGATCAATTAACGAAGTCTGCCATGAGAGCAGGATTATGCAGGAATACCATGTATGTCACAGAACTGCCATCCTTGTACTAGGTCATCAATAAAGTCTTTGTATCTCAAATTAACAAACTCATCTAAGGATAAGAAGTTTATACATACCTGGTAGGCAACTTTTCAAAGTCAACATCTAAGAACTGTTCATAACTAGAAACAAAACTGTCCAACCAGAGCTTCAGGTAATCTGGATCTTTCTGAAATAAGAAAACCAATATTAAGTATACCTATCAGAAAAAACAAAAAACAAAGAAAAAACATGCTTTCATTCCTATAAGCAGATATGAAGCAATAATATGAAATCTCTTAAGTGATATTCATGAAAACATATGTGCTATTTTAAAATGTCTATTAAGTATAGGGGCACCTGGGTGGCTAAGCGTCTGCCTTTGGCTCAGGTCATGATCTCAGGGTCCTGGGATGTAGCCCCGCATCAGGCTCCCTGCCCAGCGGGGAGTCGGCTTCTACCTCTCCCTCGGTCCCTCTCCACCTCCCTGCTCAAGCTCTCTCTCTCTCTCTCTGAAATAAATAAAATCTTTAAAAAAAAAATAATAAAATGTCTATTAAGTATAGTGAACCCTCTAGTGGCTTCCCACGTCCCTCACACAAAGAGCTACAGTCTTAACAATGTCCTATAAGATTCTAAACAATTTGCCCTCCCCTATGTCTCTGACCTTAGCCTCTACTACCCTGGCATCCTGGCTGTTACTGGGACATGCCAGACATACTCCCACCTTAACTCCTTTCAATAGCTGTTTTCTCTACCCAGAAGACTCTATAGATGAATGGCTAAGTCCCTCATCTTCTTCAAGTCATTCCTTAAACAACATTCTCAAAAAAGCCTACTTTTACTACCCTTTCTTAAAACTGCTGATCTTCTTACTAACCTTTACCTGACCCTATTCTGTCTTCCCACCGTGGTGCTTTCTCACCATCTATCATACTATGTCATTTACTCAGTTATTAATTTATTGTCTGTCACTTCCCCTAGTATATAGACTTCACAAGTTTAAGGCCTTTCTAAGGGCTTACCACAAGTGACTTCTTTTTGTTTACTAATGGATACCAAGTGCCTAAACAGAGCTTGGCACTGAGCAGGTGCTCAATAAATATTTAATGAATTAGTGAAAAATACAAGATGCATAAATAAAATAAAATCAGATATAGATCATTAACCTAAACATAAAAGCTAAAATTAAACACTTCTAGAAGAAATTATAGGAGATATACCTTTATAGGAGACATACCTTTGCAACCTTGGGGTAGACAAAGATTTCTTGGGAGCACACAAAAATCAAAAGCCAAATAAAATAAGTCTTAATCAAAATTAAAAACATCGGGGCACCTGGGTGGCTCAGTCGTTAAGCATCTGCCTTCGGCTTGGGTCATGATCCCAGGCTCCTGGGATCGAGCCCCGCGTCAGGCTCCCTGCTCCGCGGGAAGCCTGCTTCTCCCTCTCCCACTCCCCCTGCTTGTGTTCCTGCTCTCGCTGTCTGTTTCTCTGTCAAATAAATAAATAAAATCTTAAAAAAAGAAAAATCTACCCACCAAAAGATACCAATAAGAAAATGAAAAGGCACGCCATATACCAGCTGAAAATATTCTTAATACATATATTTGATAAAGAACTTACACCAAGAACATACAAAGCACTCCTAAAAATCAACACCAAAAGGACAACTCAATTTAAAAATGGGAAAAGGACAAACACCTCACAAAAGGGGATACAGGAATGACCAGTGTGTGAAAGCATGCTCAACATCATTAGCTATCCAGAGAAAAGCAAACAAAAATCAAATGGACCACCCATTACACACTCACGAGAATGGCCAAAACTAAAAACCTTGACCATTCCAAGTGTTGGAGAAGATGTGGAGCAACTAGAACTCACACTTCTGGTGGGAGTATAAAATGGTATAATCATTTAGAAAACAGTTTGGCAGTTTCTTTTAATGTTAAACATAGATATAGAACATGGCCCTTCCTCGAAAGAGGAAAAAACACAGAACTACAAAAATGTACAAAGATGTTCATAGAAGATTTATTTTTAATAGGTAAAAGCTGGAAACAACACAAAATTCCATCAACCTGTTCACTGACAAAGAAATTGTGGTATACTCATATAATGGAATACTATTCAGGAATAACACTGAATGAACTGTTGATACAATGACAAGCAGAAATTCTAAAAACATAACTAAGCAAGAAATGCCAGACATTAAAGTGTATACACTGTATGATTTCATTTATACAAAGTTCTAGAGCAGGCTATGGTGACAGAAATTAGATCACTGGCTGTTTTTCAGAGGACTGACTACAAAGGGACACAAAGAAAACTTTCCTAGGTGACAGAAATTTTCTATTTTATTATATAGTAGTTACACAAATGTTTGCCTGTATCAAAACATGAACTTTGACACTTAAAATGTGTGCATTTTATGGTCTGTAAGTCATATCTCAAAGCTTATTTGAAATGATTCCTCAGAAACGTCTATTTAAATATAAACTGCATCATTAAAAATGATGCTCGAATTTATTTCCTTCCTCTCCTTAACCGTTCTTTACTGAAGTCAATTTCCACAATACTCAGAAGTTTTACTTAATCATTAAATATTACTGGTTAGGCACTGCACTTGGATAAAGGGAACTCAAGTACTTTATTTCCCTAAAATAAAAGCATTACACTACAAATCAGAATTGCTAAAAGAATGTTCCCAGAATGTACAGAGACTGCTGACCTTCTGTGTATTTGTTTTTTCTATTAATATACTGTTCCAAAATCAGATTGTAAATTGCCACTATCTACATCATCACTGAGAAATAAGATGGAAATATTTCAGAAAAAGATTTCTCACATGAGAAATTTTCTCAAGGGTTCCATTACTTGCTATTTTCATTTCCAACTAGCACATTATTCATGTATTCATTTACTCATTTATCCACTCAGAATAGGAATCCAGAAATACAAGTAGCTGGAGTTTCCCTTATCATTTTTGCTTTTAATAAAGCATAGGATTATCTCTCTGTAAAAGTTAGACACAAAACAGTCTCATAACACCATAAAGAATTAATGCATTTCTCCTCATAGTTTATTTAGGAACTCTACAGTATCTGGTTCAAAGTCTAAAGGTCAGGGTTATCAGGTTGGCAGGTACAAGGTTCTCCTAAGAAGTTGAACAACTATAAGGAAAGAAATGGTACTTAAATCTGGAAATGTTTCTTTTAGTAAGAAGTAAAGTAGTTGCAGTTTTTTGAGCATATGCCATGTGCATTTTTAAATAATATGTATCATTCCATTTACTCCTTACATCTATCCAGAGGTTTCATTTCCCCATTTTGCAGGTTAGAAAAGGGATGTTCTAGAATATGTAACTTGTCTGGTCATACAGTTAGTTATTGATAGTGCTGGGATTAAAATGTAAGGTATATGAATCCAACCGTGGTCCTTCTACTACACTATACTGTCTTTGAACTATAAGCACAGCTCTAGTGAGCAAATAGAGGAAAAAGAGTTATCAGGGTCAGTAAACTCAAGGCCATACACAATTTAACACAAAAAACAGCCACATTCTATACAGCCTGACAAAATTCTTAGAGAATCTACACTTTACTGCCAAAAACCATAAAAAGAAAGATCTCCACTTACCCAGAAACCATATTAATTAAATCTCAAGTTTAGTCACTTTCTTTTTTTTTTCTTTTTTTTAAAAAAATTTTATTTATTTATTTATTTGAGAGAGAGAGAGAATGAGAGATAGAAAGCACGAGAGGGAAGAGGGTCAGAGGGAGAAGCAGACTCCCTGCTGAGCAGGAAGCCCGATGTGGGACTCGATCCCAGGACTCCAGGATCATGACCTGAGCCGAAGGCAGTCGCTTAACCAACTGAGCCACCCAGGCGCCCAAGTTTAGTCACTTTCATAGTTAAAAGTTTGGTATACTGAAACACCACAGTATGATCTATTTTTCCATTTGTACACTATTTATTAACATAACACATAAATATATTACGTACTGCAGGAGCACTGGGGCCAAATTATGTGGACTCTAATACTTGCTTTGCCACTTTCTTGAACAAGTCATCCTATGTTTGCTATCAGTCTTTTCCTCTATAAAAATGAATATAATGATAGTACCTTTCTTACAGGGCCATTATAAAAATTAAATAATCTAATATATGTCAAGGGCTTAGAATAATTCCTAGCACAGAGGATATGCTCAAGTATTAATTTTATTTTTACAACCTACTATGTGCCAAAACTAGGAAACTCCCATAAAACAGGAATAATCTATGCAACAAACATATTTAAATATTTCATGATCCCCCCTGACATATGATTTTAATTGTATTCTCTTCTTTTTAAATCTCTTTGCATTTACTATCTGTGTAACTTTGGCCATGTTACTGGATTTCTCCAATTTGTTCTTCATCTATAATATTATTTCCTACCTCATAGGGTGTTGAGAGCACTAAATGAGATAACATACGTAAGACATTCAACAATGCCTGTCATTTAGCAATTACTCAAAACACGTTGGTTACCATTAAGATATAGAGTCTGCCATCAAGTTGGTCATGATTCAAAGTAATAAAATAAGCACTTATGAAATAATTACAAAATCAACTTTATTGATTTTGTACTCAAATATTCATCCAATCATGTGCCATTGTTTAAAACAGTCTTTCAGGGCGCCTGCGTGGCTCAGTTGGTTAAGCGACTGCCTTCGGCTCAGGTCATGATCCTGGAGTCCCAGGATCGAGTCCCACATCGGGAGGGAGTCTGCTTCTCCCTCTGACCCTCTTCCCTCTCGTGCTCTCTGTCTCTCATTCTGTCTCTCTCAAATCAATAAATAAAATCTTTTAAAAAAATAAAAAAATAAAAAAAATAAAACAGTCTTTCATTTGAACTGTTAAATAGTTCTCTACTGGTCTTTATAGCTTCAATTTTTCCTCCCTATATATAGCTACTAACAGGATTTGTTAAATTTAAATCTGATCATTTCTTCCCTCCTGTTCAAATACCCTCAATGGCCCCCATTACCACAGGATGAAGTTTAAACACTGCCCAATACAGCACTGCCCAATACAGTGACCACTAGCCAAATGTGAATATTTAAATTACATTAATGCACAGAAGGCTTTTACCTTCTCTTAACACCCACTCCCCTGGTGGGAGGCATTAGTGGGTAATGGAATTAA